CACCTGTTCAGTTCCCCACATATTGCCACCCTCTCTCCAGGCAGATAAGTAATGGTATTAGCTTCTTAAATATCCTTCTAGGGTTTCTTATGTATATGTAAGCAAACGTATGAACAGTCACACATACTTCTCTCCTGTCCACCTCCTTTTGTAATATAAATGGCAGCATACTATTCTGCACTTCATTATGTATGTATGTGTGTATTTTAAGTAGGCTCCATGCCCAGTGTGGAGCCCAACACAGGGCTTGAACTCATGACGCTGAGATCAAGACCTGAGCTGAGAACAAGTCAGACACTTAACTGACTGAACCGGCACCCCTCTGAACTTTTTTTAAGATTTATTTATTTTTTAGAGGGGTTGGGGGAGGCGCAGCAGGGAGACTCTTCAAGCAGACTCCCTGCTGAGAGGGGAGTCCAACTCGGGGCTCCATCCCGTGACCCCTGCAATCACCCCCTGAGCTGAAACTAAGTGTCGGATGCTCAACCTACCGAGCCACCTGGGCGCACCTCTGCACTTCATTTTTTTAATCATCAAATATATCCTGGTAATTTTTCCATATTGGTATCTAGAAGGGTTCCTAATCATTTTTACAGCTGCATAGTACCCATTTATTTATTTGTGTGTATGCCGGGGGGGGGGTGGCATGTGCCCAGATTAAGTGTATTTAACCGGACCAAACCAATGGACATTTAGTTTGTTTCCGAATCTTCCACCATTATAAACAATGTTTCAATGGACACTCTTGTACATATGTCATTTCACATGTATATAAGCACTGCTGCTGTCTCAAGGGGTTTAATAGGAATTTGATAATTTGTAGGTCAATTAGTTTAAGCACTACCCGGTCTTGAGGAATTCTTTTATGGGTAGTATTAAAAACACATTTTGAATACAAGGCAATGCTATATTTGAAAGTGTTATTCTTTGTTTCATTTAAAGGCCACAGGGAGCAGGGGAATGGTTTTTTACTCCCTAGTAAGAAAATACAATTTTAAGACTATATATTTTTCCTAAAAATCTTTTAAGATGCTCTGCTTTAGATGGTAAAACCATTGAGGGAACCCCTCCTCTGAAAATGAGGGAGCTACTCTGTACTCCCTTCTGAAGTAAGTCTGGAATCAAATCCTCTTTCCTTCGTGTTCTTTTCACTTTGTTTTCTAGCATCACAGTAACAATCATCTATCGCCGGAAATTTCCTTACTCATTAAACAGGCCCATCCCATAAAAATCTTAAAACAGGTTTCCTCTACCTTTCTCCTACTGAATAGCCAAAGGTCTCTAATTATGATATGTGGACATTCATTTACCCTAGCGAGAAGTCAAGGGATGCCACAGTGATGAGATGTTGCTAAAGCCCAGCTACACCTTGTACCAAACATTTCAGGGCCCATGGATGCCAGGAGTTCAAAAGGAGATAAAAATAATAGCTTCACAGCTGGATTGGGAGCAAAGTTAGTAATGGCAGGCTGGCACCTTCTGTTTTCCCTGACAATACTCCCAGAGGGTTGGGGACTAATATGGTCAGGGAGGGGCAAGCAAGGCCAAATTTTGAGGAAGACTGTGAACTGCTGCAATGGGGGGGAAAAAGGGTATTTAACTTGTTTGCAGTGTGTGACAACTCAAAATATACCCTGAAATAGAGTGGAGGGATCCATATCCTTGTTGCTGTGATGGCACCATGATATCAGTAAAACCCGAGAGGGTGAAAATTCCTCTTCTTCACTAGGGTACTCCAAGAAATCAAGATGACTAAAAAAGGGAAGGTCCTGGTAGGTAACAAAAATATGTAATGTTACATTTACTCATTTAATATGACATGTCCTGCTAAGTTGTCCCCAACCCTCCACAGAAATTGCCCTGTGAAAGGTCTCCAAGAAATTTTTTTTTTTTTTTTTTATGGGAGAAGGAGCCAACAAAGAAGCTTCACAGCACATTTTGAGTAAGTTAGTGCAAAGGCTCAGTGGGCCAGCTGGTGAGGCACCAGCTTGTAATGGGTTCCACAGCTAGGGCATCGCTGGGCCTCCTTTGTGCAGCCAGAACCAGATGACGGTACTACTGTCCTCTTCACAGATGCAGCCCACTATTCGCTTGTTGGTGATAGATGGGACTAAATTCGGGTCTTCCTTGGTGCCTGCAGCTGCCTTTGGGGCTAGCATATTGTATGGGTCCAGTCCTTTCTGTGCAGCCATCATGACCTCCCTCTCCAGCCCAGTCGTCTGGTCATCATCAGTAGGAACACCACCTCCAGATGCCATGGTGCACACCACGGCGACTCCATTGGGACCGCGGGCCCTAAGGGCCTGCACAGCCAGAGCTCCAACTCCGCGAAGTAACCTTGAAGCCATCACGCCCGCTCTTTACTATCACATCCTCATCTTACAGTCTGAGGAAACCGTAAAGAGCCCTTCTTAAAACTTAAAAAGCCAGGCACCTGGGTGGCTCAGTTGGTTGAGCGTCCGACTCTTGATTTTGGCTCAGGTCGTGATCTCAGGGTTGTGAGATTGAGCCCCGTGTCAGGCCCCACACTTACTGAGGAGTTTGCTTGAGCTTCTCTCTCTGCCTCTGCCCTTCCCCCTGCCCATGTGCGCACATGCTCTCTCTCTAAAATAATAAATAAAATCTTTGGGGAAAAAACCAAACAGCTTAAAAAGTCCTTTCTGGCCCAGTTTCCAAGCCACTCTCTGCTGGGTCTTCTGGCCAGCTTCTCCTCCGGCAGATGACCTGAGTATTATCACGCCGGCTGGCTCCGACTTGAGATCTAATCCCTCACTCCGCTTCAAATATGCCCTCAGCTCCCCAATCTGTCTTCATCCCAGGCTTCCAGACCCTTCAACTGGCACAGATACCTCATGTCAAAAACGGAACTAAATCGTTTTCTTCCCCAAACCTGCCCCTCCTACAGTTCATCTCTCTATTCTGTCATCCAGAAGGTACATGTCACCCTCATCTCCCTCTTCACCCAGCCTTCCTGTCTATGGAGTCCCAGAGTCTATCTCCGTAATATACCTGATTTGCTCTCCCTCTCCCTCCCACGGCTGAATCTCCTCCCCACCTGATCTCTCCATCCTCGAAGTACATTTTTTTTCACATTTTGCTTTGATAACTGTATATTATTTGTACTGTATACATTATTCTAATGTGATTTTATGGGCCACAGCCAGGAACCCAAGTCGAGTTTAGGTGGACTGTTACAAAACACTTTCCAATTCAACTTTAACATGTCCTTCAGGGGCTACCTGCCTCCTCCACTACTCCTTAGTACATAATGTTAGAACTTCGACAATCAGGTCCCTTTTCTCTGGGTTCTACCCCACCTACCCCTCTCCTTTAGTCACACTGCATGCAGTGTCACGAACATAGCACGCTTGTTCATCCCTCCATGCTTCTGTTCACATTGCTGCTTTTACTCCTTCCCCACCTCGGAGGGAACTCAGCAGTCTTTCAGCTTAGGGGGATTATCACCTCTTTGCAGCCTCTCCTGGTCTGTGAATGATGCCTTTAAAAGCATCCACTCCCTCCTTTGGTCTCCTACTCCATCATATTTCTAGTATAGCATCTACATTCCTTTATTCCATTTATTTGGTGTAAATGAAGCACAGTAATTTTCTTCCAAGTGATACTATTATTTTCTCTATTTAAACATAAGGAGATTGGGGGTAGATAGAAAATTTTGGCCACTTATTTCAAGGAATTTATAATATAATTGAGAATGTGGATTAGATGTAGTTCCAAAAAAACCCACAAAAAGTCGTGTTTTTTCCTTATAAATATATTTTCCTTATAATATTTCATTTATTTACACTGAAAAATAATGACACAATCAATTTCCCAAAAACTCAGGTTTGTTCTGGTAATCGAGACCTGTGCTGTGCTCTTCAAGAACGGATCAAACCTATCATTGGATCAGTATAAAGGAGTAGTACTTAGCACACTTTCAGAGACATGGTAGGGTGATCAGTAAATTAATGAGTTGGAGAGCAATTTATATGTCTATATATGGCTCATTTTTAAGATCTAGGTTACTAGGAGTTTGCCTGAAATAATGGAATATATATATATATATACACACATTTTTATGTATTTGTGGTAAACTCCTAGTAACCTAGATCTTAAGAATAAATCTAATTATTCAACTAATTGTTCTTTTTCTTAAATTTTTATAAGGAAAATTTCAAACATACAAAAACAGAGTAGAGAGTAATTAACAATAGTAGAAAGGGTAGTATAACAAATCCCATGAGGCTATAATCATTACCGTTAAATAGCCAATCTGCTTTTATCTATACCCCCATCGTCCCCTGAGAATTATTTTCAAACAAATCCCTGATATCAGGCCATTTTATAAGACACTGTTCACTTTTACCCTCCTCAAGGGTTAAGATACCAATACAGAGCATGTTGCCCACAGTTAACAGTACCAACACCTAACCAGTTCTCTCCAAAAAACGTCAGGCACAAAACTGTGATATAGGACATCCAGTTACAACAATTTCAAGTATAATCCTTTTAAGTAAATGATAAAGAATTTATGCTTAAACCACTGCTAAATTGGGGAACACTACATTAACAATAAATTCCAGCTAACAGAAGTTCTGTTCCCTTATTTTAATTTCTTCTAGCAAATAATACTAACTTCCAGATAAAATCTTCCTATTCCTCACACATTTGCAATCACTATATCAATATTTTACTATTAAAAATCTGATTTAAAGTTCCTTTTTTGGGGCAAACAGGAAGAATATTTTATACAGAAACATGAACTCAAGCAATAAAATTGGTTTTTAACACTTAAAAAGTAGAGTAACAAGGTCTAATAAACCTTAATTTAACTGGCAGATAAAAAGAAATGAACTGTAAACACTTTCCAGTAAATTTCACGTAGCCTAGAAGAGTAGGAGAAATTCTAGCAGGCAAAACGAACATGTGATATTTGAGAAGAGGAAAGTCGAATGGGAAATTGGTCTAAGACTGACAGAGAAATATTTATAAACACTTACCTTATTGCTGCCTAGACTGTAGGTTGGAATAAGATCTTGTCGGCTGCCAGACAACTGAAGAAGAAATAAAAAGGGGATTAGTCCTTTAGGTGTGAAAGTACAGAAATCTACGGTCCTGGAACTACAAGAATTTGAAAACCAAATCAACATAATGTTAGTCAGATGGTAGCAGAGATGTTGTCAAGACATTTGTAAATTAGACTAGTGTGTACTTTGAGACATTATTAGGCACAATTTTTTTAAAGATTTCTTTATTTTGAAAGAGAGAGAGCGTGCATGTGCACGTGGGAGTCGGGGGGGGAGGGGCAGAGGGAGAGAATCCCCAAGCCGACTCTGCACTGAGCCCAGAACACCACACAGGGCTCGATCCCAGGACCCTCAAGTCATGACCTGAGCCGAAGTCAAGAGTCCGCCACTTAAACAACTGAGCCACCCAGGTGCCCCTCACAATTTTTTTTGTAACTAAATTGAACTTTGAGGTGGGAGGGTTATATAAGATCAGATACCCAGTTTATACTGAGGCAACAACTGGGTGGGCAAGGGGTACTTCGTCTGCTTATCCCCTTCTATTTAAAGGGTACCAGGTTACTAATTATTTTACCATGTCCTGATCTTACAACTTCCTTCTCTGGGTATTCATAGCAGACTTACAGACACAAGCTATTTATCTTAAACCATAGGATTTTTTTTTTAAGATTTTATTTATTTGTCAGAGAGAGAGAGAGAGAGAGAGGGTGCGTGTGCACATATAAGCAGGGGGAGCGGCAGGCAGAGGGGGAAGCAGGCTCCCCACTGAGCAAGGAGCCTGATGTGGGACTTGATCCCAGGGTCCTGGGATCGAGCCCCACATCGGGCTCCCTGTTCAGCGGGAAGCCTGCTTCTCCCTCTGCCACTCCCCCTGCTTGTGCTCTCTCTCTCTCTGACAAATAAATAAATAAAATCTTTAAAAAAAAAAAAAAGAAAGAAAGAAAGAAAGTAGTATTTCTTACTGTTTGAGAATGTTCCCAATCTTTCAGTCTGAAATCATTAGTGATGTCATTCAGTCACTCAGGGGCCATGTGTGCCCTCCCATTTGATACTCTCCCTACCTCTCACTTTGGTCTCTCAAACACTAAGGCTAAGGGTCAGCTGCTCTTCATTACAATGCTTGTACTGTGGTTTTTCTTGGTGTAAAGTTAGACAAAGGTAATATTTCTCATATCCCCATCTTTGTCAAAAGTAAGGAGAGATAAGTCATAGGGCCACAATCATATTTCTTTGTGAAGAATTATTTGTGTGCTTAATATGCACATAAATTATAGCTATGTTTTTAAAAACAACAAACTTAAGACACTGTTATGAAACACACCTAACTTATTTTACTCATTTATACTATCCTGGATGGCCTTTAAGCAATTCAGTTTGTAAACCGAGTCCAGACTTCTCAATTTAAAAGTAATTAAGTTAGGCCCAGAAAATTCAAATGGCTTGTTCAAGGCATGCAGCTAGTTTTGCTTTAGTTCAACACTCAGTCATTGAACACCCAGTCACTGAGCTAGGCACTGCTCATACAAAAATGAGCGAGAAACATTAGAGACTAACTTAAATGGGCACTTTCCCTATCATACTGGTGAGGACAGGGACAGAGGTGTGCACAGATGCTACAGGTAGAGAACAGGGGCACCTAAATCAGTTCGGAGAAGGGAATGGTATCTGAGGGGAGAGTTGAAGGATACAAAAGAGTTATCCAAGGAAAGAGGAGCAGGGAAGGAGAGCTCAGGCAGAGCACAGAACACGGAGTCCATGTACTCACTCTGTTCACGTTGGGAGAGCTAACGCTCCTCCTACTTAGCTTCCCCTTTCCTGTCAACTGTTCCTTCACAGTAACTTCCTGTCAGTCAGAAAACGTACAGAGGAAAAATACAGATCAGAGACTCACCGCCAAAGCAATACCACGTACGGCAGTCTTTGAGCTACCGTCTCTAGATACACATTCCTGGTTCTTGAAATCATGGCTGTTCCTTCACAGCGTGGAATGACCTAATTCCAATCGCTGTGGAACAGTCGAAGTTAACTGTATAGTGGAGAGGTTACGTAGATCATTCTCTTCTTTATCTACTGACGGCTGCCTTAAAACTGGCCAGAAGTTAGTCCCATGGGAAAGATCGTCAAAATTAGATCATTCACTTTTATTTTTCATAAGGATCTTTGGTTAAAACCTAAAAAAGTCTCAATATTGCTACGTAAAATGAGGTTTAGGGTTCCACTAAGCATTAGGTTTACTGCTGGCATCTCTATTACCCCGTCTAGAGATCTACTCTAAGGCTGTGGCAGGCATGTCCAGCTAAGCAAGAAAGGGCCCATTCTGCCACATTCCTACATATTTCTTCAGCAACATTATTGTCCATTATCAAAGAATTTTTAAAATAATTCTTTGGCCAGCAAGAGTGAAATATCTTCTCCCATTACCTCAAGGCAACTAGATAGATAGCATTTACCGTCTTGGTAAAACTAACTTCCCTAGTGGAGCTTTTGTATGTTCACAGACTTAACTGACAAGTTTAATCTAAATTAACATGCTCCACTTAAACAGATGCTTCAAAAGTTTAGATGTAACAACACTGTGAATTGCAGAGAAGCGAAGAGAATCAGGCTGGGTCAGCACCCCTGCTACCAGTTCGGTTGGCTAACCTGGCGGAGACGATCTAAAGTAAGAAGGTTCTCCACAGCCAGCACACTTCTGAGGTATTTTTCAATATAAGCCTCTGAGTCAGCAGAAGCCGTGTTTTCAACATTAGCTGCCATTCTTGCTAATGTTTCTCGTTCCTCTACTCCCTGGGCATCCTGGAGAACAGAAAGTTGTGTATTAAAATTAATATTAAATTAAAATTAAAATTAAGTACTCTGCAGAAGAAAATATAAAAGCTTCTTGATCTATACAAATACACACACACACAGAGTACTGATCTAGAAAATGGGATGTATTCCAAAATTCCATTTTAACGCCAGCTTTTGGAACTCAAAATGCATTTTCCCACAGAAATCATGGTATAAATCGTGGTTAGATTAACTTGCAAGGTTGAACACAGTGCCCCTGAAACACAGCACATTCTCAGTAAAATGGTCCTCTGCTACATTCCTACTGCAAACGAAAACGTTACTGGTTAGAAAGGATCTGGTGGAAACGGCTGGAAATATAACCACCACTACAATACTTCAGAAATACATCATTGAGGCAAGAGATAGGAATGAGAAGCTGGGGTCCAAACAATACTAGTATGAGGCAGACACAGGAGAATAAAGAGTGAAAAGTAGGGCTTTCAACCCTTTCACTCAGCAGCAGAACACAGACTACACATTCAACATGTGGCAGCTTCTAAAACTGGTCTCAATCCTCAACTCTGGAGTGACAGAGGCCAAAGGCAGTGTAGCACCCACCAAGAAGAAAAATATCTAGGTAAATTCTTGCTCACTGTGCTTTCCCACAGAGCCCACCCCTGCCCCTCTGATGTGGGTGGCCCATGCATATAAATGGGATGCTCGTGAGTCAGGGAGGGCCGTTGTTAGTGCATTTAATCATGTCAAGCTAGCTTGGCTCATAACAAATTACTCTTCTCAGAGAAAATCTGATACTTTATTTACTTGTGAATTTGTTCTAATGTCAAAAACTACAAAATATATAGCCATATGCCACTGCATTTTAAGATGCCATCAACTTTAAGAAAAAAACACGTTATTTTATATACCACTAAGGAGAAAAGAAAAAACTCTGCCAATTAATTTTAAGATATCAATTATAAGATACATTCTAACATCAAAAGTATTTTTAAAAATTTAAATGAGCTTTAGAACAGATAAAATATGGAAGGATCTAGAAGGTGGCTTACGTTCACAAAACTTCTACCTCCTACAGTGACTCACTTGAGCCTTTTAATAACCCTGAAAAGAAGCAATCATCCTCATTTTATAGATGAGGAAAGAGGAAGGCCACATACTTGGCAAAAAAGGCAAGATTAGAACTTAGAAAGAATACTCTTTTCAGGAGTCAGGAGACCTAAGTTCCTAATGATTCTGAGATTCATTCAAGAACTTCATTTCTTTGTATAGCTAAGTGATATTCCGAACTATGGATATACCACAATTTCCTTATCTGTCCACCCACTGATGGATGTTTGGGTTGTTTGCAGTTTTAGGTTACTCTGGATTAAGCTGCTTTGAGTGTTCTTATACATATCTCTATGGACACACACAGTCACTTCTTTTGGGTAAGCACCTAGAGGTGGAATGACTGGGTCTTGGGGTAGAAAGGGGAAATTATCTCCTGCTCTCTGGCCTATCATCAGTTCTTTCTGCCACCAAGCTCTCAGAGCTATTGTAACAAGAAACACAAAGAACTTTTTAAGGATTTTTCATGATAAACCTGGCTCCTCAAGGAATCTTTTTATTCTGTTTTTAAATAAAAAATAAACGAAGTGCAGTCCTTTCATTATAAGTTTTAAGTCTCACTGTGCCCTTTTCTTTATCATCAAGATTTGATAATGTGGAAAAAAAAAAACTTGCCAACTTAGATGTGTGGCTCATTATTAACAGGTAGCCAAATCACACGAGGCTATACGCTTATCTCTCAGCTGATCCCCCCCAACATTTCCTCCATTTTAAAATCATATCACCCAGAGAATAAAAGCACTTTTAAAGAGGATAAAGAATCTAAAATCAGGAAGGGATGAGACAGGAAGGGAAGGAAGATGAGAGAAATGGAAAAATGGAAGGGAGTTCACTACAGCGGTCACTGTTTCTCAACTGCATTCAAACCATTTATAGAGTTAAGATATGAAACAGCCAGAAACCATTCAGAACACATAAAACATTCAGACACAGAGAATAAATAGTAAGTCTCTAGCTGAGCACCTAAGTAGACAAAAGAGTAATCTACTACAGACCCAAGATTTTGCTGCTAGTCTGCAACAGACTTAGTTTTTAAACGTTCAGCGGGCTCCAAATTAAATAGTTAAACAGCTAATATATACTGTGGAAGTCTAACACTTTGAAGATCCAGTACAAGAAATCTAAAACAAAGCCTAAGTACTATGTAATCTTTTCAGCCTTCTAAAAACTGATCTCTGTATTAAAATATATTTTGTCCACCTACTGCTCAAACACTCAACATAATCAACAACATCCAGCCCTCAAAAACGAAGAGAACGATGTAGATGCAGATGGAGTGTTTAGCAGGGAGTGTTCGCTCCCAGCACATGTCCCCACTTCTCCACTTGCACAAAGTACAATCTGCATCTCCTCACTCACTCCTCAATTTCAGAGAGTGAGTATGACATAAGGAAATGCTCTTCTCTCTCTTTTCCATGGTCCTTTTCTTAGACTCCTCCCTTCCCCTACCCCTATAAGGAAGGCCTCCATTACCAGCTGTGCCACAGACCAGGTGAATAAATCTGGGATTAAATATTAGGAAGCATATATATAAACTATATCATGCAGCAAGCTTCATGCTTTAAAATACCCATCAGGGGTATTTTAAACTCCATGTGTTTGATTCCAATGACTTTCTCAGTTCAGAAAGAGAAATAAGGAGAAGAAAATAATGACAGGAACTATAATAACGGCAATTACAATTGACATTTTAGGGTGTGCACAACGACTTGGATACAGCATCTCATTTAATCCTTAAAAACAACCCTGTACGCAGCTATCACTAACCCAATTTAATAAATGAAAAAAATTAGGCTCTAAGTAACTTACCAAGTTCACCTCACTAAGAAGTGACAAAAATAAGATTTCTGTGTGATTCTAAAATGAAAGCCTGAATCTCTATTTTGTGCTATGTTGTCTCCCTTTGAGGGTTACAATATTGTTACCTTATGGTTACCAGGAGTAAAAGGGAGTGTTTGTCTTCCAAGAGTGTTGATTTGCTTTTCAAAAGGAACTTCTTTAATAAAATACTAAAACCAGAACCTTTAAAGCCACAAATACTTTTTACAATGAATCACATTAAGATTAGGAAATTTCCTCTACAAATCTATAGCATTTGCCCAAATACCCAATTTTACTGACTATATATTTTTTAGGCAGGTGACTTTCAGGGAGTTAGCTCTTTTTACATGTTTATTTTTAGTATACTCAAACTTCATTCGATCCTTCACCTCTGGAATATTGGAGACAATTTCAAAAGTCACTCCACAGCCAGGAATAGAACTTCGATGTGACATCTTTTTTAGGAGACTCTGAGCAAAACCCTAGAGAAAAACAAAACAGAAAGATATGGTTTCCTACCTCAAAAACTGAGTTTTTGTTAACAAAGAGATAGCACACAGAATACTGCATTCATTCTTACCAAAAAGAAACAGAGCATATTTCCAATATAAGCAAGCTGAAATCCAAATCACTAAATACAGGCTCTTCAACTTCATCTCAGCACACAAAACCAATTTATTAGGTTCCTGCCATGTGACAGGTCCTATCCCCAATATATGAAGAATATAAACCCAAAACTCTGGAAACTGACACCGGGCATCATGGTTCAGCTCTACTTAAAGGCTACAGAAATAAGACTGTTGACTTCAACACAATAAAGTGACCTTCTAAGATGTGAGTGAGGACTGGTGTCTCTTACACTTTTTTTTCCTCCAGTACAATGGACATCTTGCAGCATGAATATTGACAAGTTCAGGCATTAAATTCTTGACCAAAGCAAGGATCGTTATGAAGAATGATTTAAGAGTGCATGGTCATTGTTTATGCTGACTGAGCTCTTTGCACAGTTAAGAACTGAACTGTTGAATTAATGCATAGATGACTCATTTGAAGATGCTGCTAAGACTGAACATCCTGTAGAGGTTGAAGAGAGCAGGGATGAGGGCAGAATACAATTGGTGAATAAAGATAAGAAGAGAGAATTTTAAACCGACACCCAACCTTTTCCCTCATGCAAAAGGGAAGCAGGAAATATTGTGAAAACCCCCACAGAAAATAGAAAAATCAAGCCATTTGGTCTTAGAAGTACATATTTTCACAAACCTACTTAATAATAATTTCTTTCCTATTCAGTGATCTTTACTTTTTTAAAAGACTGTAGCTCTTAGAATGCAAAGAGCCCTCCTCGACTTGAGCCTTGCAATGCTGAGCCACTGCCCATTAACATCTGTCAGGGAACAGCTAAGGTTTTTTTTGTTTTGTTTTGTTTTTTTTAACAGGTGGGGTGGGGAGGTGTGGGAGCTGTTGTTACCTTACCTTCTCTTTTCTTTCTGTATGGAACTATTGAAACTGATCTGCGTATATTAGCATCATAAGGAAGTCCCTGTTCTGCCATAAAGAAGCAGTTTTTAAGATTGAAGTATCTGAAATTGGGAGGGAAACTGGCATGCCCTAAAATACTATCATGTCATTCAGTATCAATTTGATTATATCACATCATTTCAACCAGGGAAAAAAAGGTGGCAACTTCTTGTCGTTATATTAAAAAATTAAAAATGAACCCAAAAGAAAAAAAAAAAAAACACCAAAAGAAGCTTGGTGACTCCATGATGCACCCTTTCTGTTAAGGCTTCTGTGGGGCTGGTGGCTGTACCAGGTTAGTCTCAGGGCCTGGCAAGCAGAATCTCTAGCTCAGGAATGGCAAACGACTCTTCAAAATGCTCCTCAAGAGCAACTTGTCTTTTTCAATCCCTTAAAGACTTCCGAGAAAAGGGAGCCGGAGAAAAGAGTGAATGGGAGACACACCATATACGTCTATGGCTGACCCAAGGACCTGGATTTTATTGATGCTGGACTGCCAAGCTAAAGAGCTGCAATTTTAACAGCATTACCAACAGTCTTCATTTCAAAGACTGGTACCAGTGTGACATTTAGAACTAGGTGGAGGTTACATCTAGGACTGTCAACCGCGACTGTGCTCTTTTAAATGAAAAGATTTCTTTTCATCTGTCCTGGTTTTAGTCAGTGTATTGAGAAGGCCTCGAAAAGAGTGAGCACTGACAGTTCAAAGAATCCCTGGAATGAGCCTCCCAAATCCTGTGTTTGCAAAGCCAATGGCAGAAATAGTTTATGTTCTTCTTTAGAACATTCCTACTAAACCCAGTCATATGGCACGAGGTGCCTCATAATCCAGCTGCAACTGTGTGGACAGCCAGGGCCCCAGCCTCTGCGGCCCACCCTGTCACACTGCCAGTCACACTTGGCCACTTGAGGTCTGAGCCTGCCCTGCCGTCCTTCCTCACTACCTCTGCACTGAACAGCCTGTTTTCCCCCCCACCCCCCGCCCCGTCGCCTGCCAGACTCCCCCTCCATGAAGGAGCTGCCTGCACCCTGAGTTCTCCATTGCTCTGCTGGCAGTCTTCCCACACTCAGGGAGCACCTGCCTTCTATCTCAACAGAGGTGTCTCCTGTTTATTCAGCTACACAGACCAACGGACACTGGTGGCTTCAAGATGCAGACTAATTCTTACTCGTCTTGCTACCCAAAAGCTTGACCGAGTACCCTCTCCGAATATAAGAGTCCACGAATTAGCAGAGATGACTGCGGGGAGAGAAAGAAGCGCGAAGCGGAGGGTGAGTCCAAACAACAGCTAATCTGCAGAGAACTGGCACGTCTTGTGCAACCCAAACAAAAAGTCAAAAACAAACACAGAGAACTTCACTTTGACGGGGCTCCAGGGCACCCATTTGTGACTATGGAACAAGAAAGACTCATCGTAAAAACTGAACACTGTCTATGAGGAAGTCAGGACGGCAGACGCCGGGAATGCGGCAGGCATGGTTACAAGAGGGCAGCAGTCGAGTCGAAGAGGAAAGCTCGACTCTCCACAGAGCTGTGTGGACGGGAGGCCAGAGCAATCATTCCCGGCCCTGAACTCAAGTTGGACCTGTGATTAAAGTCAGTTCTTCAACAGTCAGTTCACTAATGCCTCACCTGCCGGCCATGAACATGGACACAAATTCGTTTCCGTAATACCAGCTGCATGTCAGCCGGATGGCTGAGCTGCACTGTCACCCGCACGATCAGATACACGCGCGCATCCGCTGGGGTGCCTTTACTGAGCTGAGGACAGCTGTGCACGGCAGAGTCCCAAGAGGCTTCTGCTCTCACCTGCAGAGACAGAAAGAATACGCTTTGCCTTCTCCTCCTGAACACAGAAAACGTCACAAGGAAACATCCTGGCTTGGCTGGAGTTGAACATACTGGTCATCGTTGACGATCCACTCTAACTGGCCTGAGAGACTCTGGGATATGAGGATGTGGCCTCCATCACTATAGTCTGGGAAGTACAGAGGATAACACTCCCGGCTGGCGGGCTTCTAAAATGTTTTTCTTTTGAAAAATGCTCAAACATAAAGGAGAGATGTGAATTCAGGACAAGGAACTCCTGTGTTATCTTCCATCTAGAATAATCACCGGCTGTTAATATTTTGCCACTCTTCCATTCTTTCTCACAACTCGTACACACACAAGATTATTTTTTGCTGAACCACTTTAGAGTAAGTTACAGACCTGTAATTCCACCTGCCTAAATACATTAGCAAGTATCTGCTAACAGCACGAACATCCTCTGACTTAACCATAGGACAATTATATTCAGGAAATTTAACATCAATGCAATACTATTATAATACATAGTCCATGTTCAAATCTTTCAACTGTTCCGATCCAGGATCACTAACTGCATTTAGATGTCATGCCCCATTAGTCTACTTTAACCTGGACTGGTTCTCCAGCCCTTCTTTGTCACTCATGACACTGACAGGCCCACTGTTGTACAGAACATATCATAGTTGGGTGTGTGGGCTTTTTCCCCTACTTATTAAAGCTTTGCATCTTAGGAATACAACTTAGGGATGATGTACCCTTCAAAGCATCCCATCAGCTTTCCTTGCTTAAACTACTTTCTCATTTTTCCAATATACTCAAAACTAGAAAGTAAGCCCCCACTGTACACCTATCACCTAGATTCGAAAATTATCAAGATTTTGCCACACTGCCTTCATCTATTCTTTCTTTCTCTTCTTAAAAAGCCTTTACTAAAGGGGCGCCTGGGTGGCTCAGACGGTTAAGTGTCTGCCTTCAGCTCAGGTCACGATCCCAGGGTCCTGGGATGGAGCCCCGCATCGGGCTCCCTGCTGAGCGGGGAGCCTGCTTCTCCGTCTCCCTCTGCATGCCGCGTCCCCTGCTTGTATACTCTTTCTGTCAAAAATAAATAAAATCTTAAAAAAAAAAAAAAGCCTTTACTAAAGAATTTCAAAGCAAACCCCAAACACTGTGTCGCTTTACCTGCACGTACTTCAGGAGCATTTCCCCAAAGGGACCACTGCTGACCTGAACTATGAATACTAACAGAGATCCTTTACCAGGAGGGGAAGTAAAATGGTTAATGGACGTAATGTGACTGCCCACTCCTTCTGGAAGGGGTTCTGCTCTTTCTGGAAGTCATAATGAAAGGTTTTCATTTATATTTCTTGAGAAATGTAAGCCTTAAAACGATTACACCGCTGATTGTTTCAGGAGACACATGGAGAGGTTAAAGAACTACTTTTCATCTGATTTTCCCTAGTTAGGCTTTGTTTACCTCTCCATCGTGCTGTTTTACAATCTGCAGTTCAAAGAACTCATCTTCTTCTTCCCCGGTGAGAGTAGCATCCCATCCACCAGCTTCTGGGTCATCAAGATTATCTTGGGAGCTGAAATCATCAGCTAAAAGCGAAGAAGTTCCATTAAATCAGAGATCATTTTAAAGGATAACCCCTACCAGCTAAATTTCAATGTGCTTATTATTAAAATTCTACTGCCTCAAATTTCATTTGCTTTTGCCTCTAAAATCTTGCATGACATGGAAGAGGACCAGTAAACAGTTCACAGTTCTTAGAGATGGATAGACTCTCAAGAAATTATCTTATCCAATCTCCTGCCTTTATGCCTTATTTTACACGGAAGGCAAATGAAGCCAAGATACCCAAGAGGTTACTCAAGGTCAGCCCATAAATGTTAATGATAGGATTATAACCCAAATTCCCTATCTTTTAGTGCATTGAAGAAATGAGAAGCGAGAGGGATTCCAATTATCTGATAGTTAAGTTCAACAAAAGGATCAATTGGCTACATGAGCCAGAAACTTGGCGGGTTGTCCCTTGGCCCTTTAGTTATTTAGTTCTAAGTCTGGTCCTCCCAACCCCCTATCCATCTTAAGCTTGTGAGTAGGCATCAAAAGTATCTCTCTAGTATGTGGGCTTGTGTGGATCAAGAATAGGCATCAGGCTGCACAAGTTCTTGATTATGTCTTGGGATGTCCGTACAAACAGGTCTTCTATAAGCTTATTCTTTTTCACTCTTACCCTCCTACACACATGTACAGGCATACTCACACACAGCACCTCACCTGTCTAGGAACCTAACATAAGGATAGGCCTAAGTAAGCCTCAGCCTCCAAGGCACCAGAGAACAACAAGGTAGGATAGAGAGCTATGGCAAAACCCTGAAACCCTCTCGGATGGACAGACAGTAGAAGTGGCTAAGTATTATTTGCTTAACTCCGTGTGCACATAATAACTTTCCATATGTATAAATAAGCTAAGTAGTACAAGATGCTAAATACCTCAGATTGTATAACTCACTTTCAGCTGGGTGGAAGAAAACCACGGAGAACACCCAAACTTGCATATTTAGGATAGTTAATGGTAATATACAGCTTTTCTGCAGATGTTTTAGGAATTTAACTGCTGACTTTTATTACCTTATTTTTAGCTGTTTAATCTACCTTTTCATTTTTATTTTCCTTCCTTGGACAGAGTAAATGTAAAATGTAGCCACATCCAAAATATTTTACATGAAGGAGAAAAAATTCAGAAAAAATGGACAGTTTCTCATAAATAAGCAATGCAGGAATGAAGAGCATAAGCACTCAGATAAAAAGTGAGAAATTTATTAGATAATGCTAAGAAAACACCAGATAAAAGAAAGCATGCTACATAAGCATCACTAGTTATTAGTCCTTTCCAGAGAGAAGTCAAATTTTCCTAAGAATTAAAGAAGACAATACTTGAAGTGCAGGAAAACACCTGCTACTACATCCAAACATGATGAGGAGAACAAAGCACACACACAGAAGTTATGGATTACAGAATAAAATGTGAGAACGCACCGGGATGAAACAGAACCTACTACTGACAAAAATATTATTCTTAGAGAAAATTCATTCTTTGTCAAGTGTCCCTCAGCATACATTAACCCTAACCTTAGGCTTACAGAATTGCCTAACTGCAAACTTTGTTACAATCTAAGTGTTACTCAGACACTAATTTGTCAGAGGTAAGCCTTCAGAAAGCACCTCCTAACTTACCATTTAAGTCAAGGAATATAACAGGAATGTGTGTTTCCATCCCAGGAACTGGGGTCCTAAAACATAATGAACAAATAGCATCTCAAATAAAGCAGACTTTCTCAGCAGCATGTACTTCGAGACACAGTGTTAATCCACACTGAGAAGTATTACAGGTCAAGCCAATAATAATTGTGGGTATTGTGTTTTTGTTACAATTTCACATCAGAGATGCCCCCAAAGACTTACCTGTAACTGCTGCTTCTTTTCATTGGTACTCTCATGTATAATTATTGTATGTTCTGATACTTGAATTCAGTCTTATAAGATATATCTCCCTGTTTATGATTGAAGCTTCCTTGTTTCAAGTTACTTTCTTAAAAAATTATATACCTAAGGGCCCCATATAGCTTAATTTACTATTTTTAATTTCTATAAAGTGGCACAGAACATTTGCTGACAGTACAATTTAAGCCAGCACAAAACCAAAAACTCCTGGAGATGCAATTTTATTATGACTGAATGGTCTTTTAAGGGAATGACCCAAGTAATTAACATATTAACTTTTTTTTTTAATGCTAAGTGCAGTGGTATTAAATATTGATTTAGATTCTCAGAATTCTTAATTACTTGGGCCAATAACAATATTATTTAATAAAACACAGTTTTAGGCCATAGTTATTCCAACTCATGAAAATAATTTAACACTTCCTCTAATTCAAACATTTTTCCCCTATGCTGAGTATTCCATTAATTGGAACAGAGGCACAATTCATAGAGAGGGTAGGAGGCTCAGTGAGCATCTGGAACGTCTGAAGACACGTGGCAGCATTCATACCATTCAGCTGGGGCCCCTGGAATACCACTGCCAGCGGAGGGGACCATTACTGCATTCCGCTCCTCAGTCAGAGTCAGCCTCATCTCTAGAAGTTGAGCTTCACGGTCGGCATCATCCTCTGTTTTATCTAGGGCATCAGGAATGAGGATCAAATACAGATTTCTCACTTGATTTACACTTTTGTCCTGCGTATCGATGGGATTTGCCTGTATTTCAGGTACTGGTTGATGAGGGTTCACAGAAAACTTATTACTTCCCTAATTGTGATTAAAAAAAAAATGAACTATAAGCTAAAGAGGTTGGTGTACTCTTACAGAAAGGCCATCTTTGGTTCATGGAAGGCCGACATGGACCAGCACATGAATAATTTCTTCCAGAGTTAGAGGATTCAAGTACTTTTGGATAAGAAACCAAGAACGTTATCACCCTCCTTAATTTATTTTTGAAGGACAATGTTTACATAGTATTTTCTCTCTGTTGGGGATGGCGGGAGACCTATAGAAAGACATCATTACAGTTAAATAAATGTTACTCTGAAAGGATATGACACGAATAAGTAACATTCCTATGCTCTTGCCACCCCCATTATTGATGTATTCATCTACTTCTAATTTATGGCTGCAAATGGAAATTAATTATGCACAGATTTGGGGGGGAAGGAAATATTCAACTTGCTTTTCCTACCATGTTTACTGACAAGCTTCTGCAGTTGTTGATCTAAGTACTCCTGACGTTTTGTTAATGCATTTAGCCATTTTCTACGTAGTCTCTCTAAATCCCGATCCTGGAAGAAAACAAGGGAAATTATGGCAAATATAACATGAAGACAAGATATTTGAAACCAATGCTCCAACTATCTTACTCTAAGGCTTCAAAAATGTAAAGTATTATGTATCAAATCTCTCTATTACCACTACTAGTTGACTCCAATCATTATTCAGAACAGAAAGTTCCAGAAATCAAAGCACTGCTGTTCTGGAACAAGATAGCTTCTGAAAGAGCATTCTCTGATATCTAGAACCAGTTTTATTTCTACTGGTTCAAGGGGCAGAACTCCAAGTAACTAAGATCTACAATGTCCCTCTGCTAGATAAAAATCACAAATACCTGGGCACCTGGCTGGCTGTCAGAAGAACATGCATCTCTTGATCTCGGGGTCATGAGTTTGAGCCCCACACTGAATGTAGATATTACCAAAAATGAATGAATGAATGAATAAGTAAGTAAACTTAAAAAAACTCACAAATACCACTCAATAATCTTCAATTCTATATTCCTGGGAACCATCATAAGAATTCCTCAAATTTCGTGTTTCAGCCTTCAACGAATGTTTCACTAGTCTCTATAAACAACATGTAAATGCTTCTCTCCCTTGTTTCTTGTGGGGGGAATTTTGGAGAGGAGAGGGGGGCTTTATCAGACTAAGAACTCTACCAGTCAACCCTCGACTGTACACCAATCTTGCCTCATTTCCTTTCATAATAAAGTTAACAAGACTGGGTAGATCAGTGGAATGCTGAGCATACAGTGTGTATCTGGATTTCACTAAGGCACTTAACCAAATAGCTCATGGCATTCTTGTAGACAAGATGGAGAAATGTGCAATGAACCTACTTGAATGAAATCATAAATGACTGAAATATCACATCCAAAGAACAGTGATTAATGGAATAATATCAGCTTAAAAGAAGTCTCTATTGTTGTGCCATAGGGCTCTGTATTTAACCCTATCTGATCCAATATTTTTATCAGTCACTTATAGGAAGGCAGACATTTTTATCAAATTAGAATGATGCAAAACCAGGAGCGTGACTACACTGGATGACATAATCAGGATCCAAAGAGCTCTGACAGTCCTAAACAATGACTAGCAAGACTAACAAGATAGAACTTGACAGACGTAAACAAAATCTTGCAGGAGATTAGGAAGAGGGGAGGCGGGCAAAAACCAAACCTGTGTGACCTGGTTTGGAAAATGGAAAATAACTAAGCAGTGTGGCCTGACTGAGGCTCAGTATGAAACAGCTCTTACAGGGAAAAGGGTGGCTGACTCCACTCAAGGGGAGAAAGAGTGCAAGGAAAAGGATCTGGAGAAATGGATTTGTAGGGAAATTGGATGGGGAGCTCCAGGTTTGGAAAAAGATAATAATCACAAATGATTTCCTACACTGAAGTCTACGAAACTCTGTTTCAATTTGAGAAAAAGCAGCATTTGATTCAAAATTAATTGTGTAGTTATTAAGTAACAGTATGACAAGACTCAGGAATGTGTGATTCAGCACTGGAATCAAGCTCATTTGAGGAGGCAAACAGGTGCTTCCTTACCTGGTAGCTGTCCATGTCCTCCTCTTCCTCCTAAAAGAAAAAATGTATTATGCATAACTAAAACAATCATTTTTCCAAGAATCAGGCTACACTCAACAACCAGAATCTTTTCCCATACTTGATGTTTTCTAAATAAATATAATATTTTATCTCCCACCTATGCTCCCACTCTCGGTTTTATAGTTTTCAGGAAGTTGGAGTCAAACCTTAAGCTTCTCATAGCAAAGTGAAGAACACTCATTTGACCTTTTCAGGAACCAGTACAATACTCTCCCTGCTGGGTTTATAGTCCCACTCCCCAGGAGAAATCAAACACCTGCTGGCAAACAGTCTTTACAAGCCAGTAGGGGGTTTCTGCAGAGGGGGTGGGTGGTGGGGGAAGTTAATCACTAGTAAGCAACTGAGGAATTTCTAGAGACTGTGATGTCTTAACCCTCAGTTTGCCATGTACCAGGGTAAGACCAACAGTCTGCTACAGTGATTCCATGCAAATGCAATACAGTTAAAAAAAAGGAAAAAAGAAAAAAAGACATCAAACAAAAATGAAAGAAAAAAAACTGAAAGAATTGTTCATGGAAGGCAGCTTTCTGGCAGGTTCCAAAAGACTCTCTTAATCTCCTTGGGTCTTTCAACAAGAACATAACCGGCACAGAAACTTACATGAAAGGTCTCATGAGTCTTGGGGGATCTGAGCGTTTTAACTTTTACACATCCAATGCCAACAGACAATATACATTCTTCCATCAGTGGTAAAGTCCCAGATTCCTGCACAGACTTCACTTCCACTTGGACTCGCCGGGACTGTCCCTGTATCACAGACAATTTTTCTTAAAATCAGTTTAATTTCTAAAATTTTGGTTTAGAGAGACCCCTACAGGCTGATGTTGAGAAAGTGTTTAACTTTGGAGACATTGTCTCACCATATCTTAAAAGTTAAGCAGTCAACTACAAATTGAAAAACTGATCAGGAAAAATAATTTACCTTTTCAGCAAGTAGAAAGACATGGAACATATATGGCTTGCATATTTTTTCAACAAAAAGAAACATTAAGAGAAAACATTCTAACAAAGGAAATGCAAAAAAGCAAGGGACAATAAAAACTGTTCAACTCACTTATAATCAAATCAATACAAATTAAAATAAGCACAATACACCTTTATTTTCACTTACTAAACTAGTGATTATCTTTTAAGAAGGCAATTTCTAATACTGCCCAAAGTTTATGAATCAGGCAATTACATACATTGTTGGCGGGAATATAAGTAAAGCTTTCTGCAAGGCAATTTGCCTTAAAAATATAAGTATCCCTTGACCCAGCAATTCAACTTTCTAGGAATCTGTTCTCAGTAAATAATCATATATGTGTATAAGGAATCTTAAAGCAGTGGTAAGAATAACAAAAAACTAGACACAAATAAATGCATAATATTAACAATTGTTCAAACTGTAGTGTATATAATAAAATATCACATAGTCATTAAAATATTGCTGTAGAAAAACATAGGTGATATATTAAGTTACAGAGTATGGTTGGGGCACCTGGATGGCTCAGTCAGTTAAGCATCTGACTCTTGATTTCGCCTCAGGTCATGATCTCTTGGTCATGATATCGCGTCCTGAGTTGGGCTCTGCATCGGGCGTGGAGCCTGCTTAAGATTCTTTCTCCCCCTCTTCCTCTGCCCCTCCCCCCTGCTCTCCCTCTCTCTCTCTCAAGAAAGAGTTTGGTAACCAGACTTTAAAAAAAAAAAGAGCAGATTACCAAACCCAATATATATATAAGTATGATCTACTTTTAAAAATAAGCAGAGTCAGAAATAAGAATAATGACCACTATCCTGGATTCTCTGCTCTAATCCCAAATAATTTAAAACCATGCTGCAAAATGAAGAATGAACAGAGAGAAGTTGTTCCTTCTCATACACATTTTCATAATAAATACTATGTGACCCTGTATGTTTACAATGAAGTAGATTCCCCATATGCCCTAATTACTGACTTCAAAGTCGGTGTATAAATTTCAGGGATGTAAAACAGAATTTGAACCACGGAATCTGAATGTACAATTTCAAGTCAGTTACTCTTCCCCTCTTCCATCAGATCTTAATTCCCAAGAGCTCTGAGTTATCAGGGAAATCAATTTAGGCAATGATTAATCAGAAGGCTAGATCTGAAGAGATGGGTTACAGATGTCTTTTGATTTAATATTTCCCAAGGACTATGCATCAGATATCTTGTGGAAAGAGTAGCTCAGAAAACATTTTAATTGTCTAAAATAATTCGGTCATTTCAATTAGCTACATTTTGTTTGTTTACTTTGCCTGAAACAGAAAGTAACCTACGCCTTGTATGCCCAAACTGGGAGGGTGAAGCAGTGGCACCGTGGGGGGTTCAGGTAGCACAGGGAAGAAGAGGAGGGAAAGATCCGGAACAGCCTACTTGCCGCACAGAAAAGCTTTAAACAGTATACTTAAATTCACAGATTGAACTTCCTGTAACTGCTAATATTTGAGCATTTTTTAACTACAAAACCGGCAATTTCATATGGTGAACCTAATCAGTTCTCCTCTGCCGTTTTCCTGCTCAAGAAAAGTAGGTTCAATTTTTGAAATATTTTCATTCAAATGAGCCTACCGTCCAAATCCCCCTATGAACAGGCTCCATGCTCCTATAACCTCCTCTGTCACTGCTCTCCAGGTCTTCCTACATGTTACTTTCTCCCCAAATTTACCTAATTCCAACCACTGTATCTTTATTCTTGCTGTTTATGTATGAAAGAAGCCTTTGCACTATTGTTTCAGCATCCAGGTCAAGATCCACACCCTTCAAAAAAGCATTTCCTGATGAACTCAACTCATCTTTGAACACTTTTAGTAAAGGCTGTCAGGAATATGAGAAATACTTATATATTCTATTTATACTAAACCACAGAAAATTATCTGGTCTTGCCTTCCAGGCAACGAATTTCTGAGGCACCCAAAGAAGATACATATATATATATATAGCTTTAACAGATGTTCAGAAAAAGATGTTCTTCACACCCTTAAGAATCCTATTTTATGTATATATCTGATGCTATAGTTTAAACTACTTTCTTTTTCCTTTTAGTTCTTTGCCCATTAATGAATGAATTTGCTAAAATTCATTTGCTGGGGGTCAGAGAACAAAAATGCTTATCACCTTCCCCTTCTAAAACATTCAGAAACTTAAATATTGAAGGAAACTCTTTTTCCTTTAACCTTTTCCCATATTCTGCTATGAATGATTTCAACATTGGCTATTCTAATATTTTATCATTGTTCTAAAGCATAGAAACTATCATGGGATACAATATTCTACTAAATGTTGAATTAATGTAAAGTATAGTAAAAAAGAGTATTTGCAAATCTTCTATGTAAATTCTATTAAGATATTTTCTCTTTAGCTGGCAGCACAGACACTTTACAGATTATAATCCGCCTGGGGTTAAGTGACAATTCCCACATATTTCTCTGCTGTATTGATTTCTGGCAGGCGTTCATATCTACTCAGCTGCATTTATTTAATACCTCCTGTAGTATCATAGAAAGATATTTGGTCTTTGTCCTCAGGTCCTGGCAGAGAGCTCCTACAACTCTCAGAACTTCCTGAGTGATAATGATTATAGGTGCATCTTTTAATGACACAACTTTAAGTCTGGTGATTCTTGGTAGGCCCCCAGATAGCTTCAGGAAGGGGGCTGGTAGCCAAAAAAAAACCAAGCCTTGATTAGAAGTTTGGAACTGTCAGCCCCACCCCAAAACCTCTGTACAGAGCAGAGAAGGGATAGAGATCAAGTTAATCACCCACGGCCAAAGCTTTCATCAGTTATGCCTACATAATGAACATCCATAAAAGCCTCCAAACAATGAGTTTCAGTGAGCTTCCTGGTTGGGGGACAAATCAAGGTGGTGGGAGGGTGGCTGGCACACCCAGAGAGGACATGGACGCTCCTTATCCCTCCTCCCATACTTTATCCCATGCCTCTCCTCCACCAGGTTATTCCTGAGTTGCAACCTTTACTTAAGAAGACTGGAAACAGAAAGTAAAGGGGAGGAGAGTTGGGTGAACCCCCAACTTTGTAGCCATGCTGGATAGAACTAAGGACCCGATACTGGCAATTGGCATCTGCAATGAGGGCAATCTTGTGCTTGCTTAAGTCTGAGCTCTTAAACCTGTGGCATCTGACACTAATTTCGAGTGGTTAGGTCAAAACCGAATTGCATTGTGGGACACCGGCTGGTGCCTGCAGAGAATCAGAGAATTGGTTGGTGTCAGGAGGAAAAGAACCCTTTCACCTCCCAAGTACCAAACACTGTGCTTCATATACAGTACCTCTAAACCTCACACTAGTCCTACAAAGTTGTTGTTATCATCACATCTCCAATTTATACCTAAGGAAAGGTTCTGAGAAGTTACCAAACTTGCTCACAGATTTAGGGCTAGGCCGTGGGAGACCAGAACTGAACCCTAGCATGTTACTAGCCTGTGAAGTGCTTATTCTTTCTGCCATGTCACACTGCTTCTCCTTGTCTTTAGAAATATTCTAATGCTGCTTCATATGTTTCTATTGTTTCCTGCAATTCAATTCTAAGTCATTCTTGAAAGCTTCTCTTTTTGCTTACTTAAACCTAAGAAAAGCTGGTTTTAAAATATTATAATTAGCAATATTTTTTAAAATCAAAGAAAATAGACATGAAATAGGAGACAATTTAAATACAAAGAATGGACTTGGCCAGTCTAGATTTCATTATCACCGATCTAACATTTCTGCTAATAGGAATCCAGTATTAAGCTTTACAGTGCCAAAGAATTTAATGTTAACACTCAGAATGATAACTTTCACAATTTTCTTACCTGCCGGAGTTGAAAGATTCCTCCTGCTGGCACATCCTTTGCAGAAATTACTTCTACAGGGCAGTATTCACCATTCTCATTCTGTTCCAAGATTTGGACCCAGAATTCTACTTTTCTGGTAACTTCACTCCATCTAGGAAATAGTTGAAGTTCTTGGAAAATCATACATTTCTATTTCAATACAGGCAGCTTAGGATCCTTCACATGAAAACTAACAATGATAATGACCTCCAAATCGAATAATTCAGTAGAATGACCTATAGTTCAGTGAGTAATACACAAATATATACTAGCAAATATAATTAAACCAAAATTAAACAAATTTAACATCAGAATTAGAAATGGCTCCTTCATTTCATTCAAAAAGGTATGATAATTTCAAATCTATTTCAAAGTGGCTATTCAAAAATCTAAATATGGTAATCAGAAGTCCAGAAGCAAGTACAATGATTATCTTTACATAGATAAAGGTAGTGATATATATGCTTGATTTAGTAACCTGACAAGAGTCTTTGCTCGGATTAATAACAGAATCAAGAAAAAAACTCAATTCTAGTTAAGGATTTGCTAAAACATTCTAAATGCAAAACAAGAAAAAAGAAAATCTGGTTCTCTTCTATAATAAGATGGAAAGCATGAATACACACTCTTTCGGTCATTCCCTTTTAACTCTTCTTTTTAAAATCGTGGTACAAATAAGCCTGCCTCCTTTCATGACTGATGGCATTTCAAAAGAACTTTGCACTAAAGACAAAATAAGTAAAACCTGAATTCTAGAGTATATATTGATCCATTTTCCCTAGAGTTGATTAATTAGAATTCAGAATGATAAGCAACTATTCTCCAAAAATTCATTCACTTTTTATTCTTAACTAACTATACATTTAACATCTCTTCCATCACTCTTCAAAATTCATTCCTGTAAGGAAGTTTAAATGTGCTATAAATACCCTGGAAACAATTGCATCTATCCCTGGGATACTGGTAATGCTCAGGAAAGGGCTACCTTTACAAATGGCAGTATTACTCTCTAGCAATTCTTTAAAATTATAAATGGAATCAGAAGGATATCTAAAATTCACCTGTCCCGAAGACTACGTGTTTTTGCTTGGATTATCCCCAAATCCCACAGGGCTGGGTTTTTCCGAGGATCGTTCATCTTATGGCCATATACTTCAATTGCCAAAGCCCCTTCTGAAAGATGCTCAATGAAGTCTTCAGTAATATTAACAGAAAACTCCTGAAAGAAAGTAATTACAGGGGCGCCTGGGTGGCTCAGATGGTTAAGCGTCTGCCTTCGGCTCAGGTCATGATCCCGGGGTCCTGGGATCAAGTCCCGCATCGGGCTCCCTGCTCCTTGGGAGCCTGCTTCTCCCTCTGCTTCTCTCTCTCTCTCCCCCTCTGTCTCTCCCTCTGTCTCTCATGAATAAATAAATAAAATCTTTAAAAAAAAAAAAAAGAAAAGAATTACAGAAGAGGAAGTATTTTCTGGTAACCTTATGATTACTTATACCTACCATCATACACCTACTTCTTAGAGAAAAGAAATGAAAAAAAAATGTTTTAGTTATAGAACAGAACTGTCATCTAACATGCATAATGAATGCTCAGATGGTCTAAAGGTTCTTGACTTTAAATATAATTACAAATCTGATTTTTAAAAATACTTTTCAGGGCGCCTGGGTGGCTCAGTCGTTAAGCGTCTGCCTTCAGCTCAGGTCATGATCCCAGGGTCCTGGGATCGAGTCCCACATCAGGCTCCCTGCTCAGCAGGAGACCTGCTTCTCCCTCTCCCACTCCCCCTGCTTGTGTTCCTGCTCTCGCTGTGTCTCTCTCTGTCAAATAAATAAATAAAATCTTTAAAAAAAAATACTTTTCAGCTGTGAATTGTGCAAGACTGTTGAATCACAGATCTGTACCTCTGAAACAAATAATACATTATATGTTAAAAAAAAAAAAAGAAGAAGATAACAGGAGGGGAAGAATTAAGGGGGCGGAAATCGGAGGGGGAGACGAACCATGAGAGATGATGGACTCTGAAAAACAAACTGAGGGTTCTAGAGGGGAGGGGGGGTGGGAGGATGGGTTAGCCTGGTGATGGGTATTAAAGAGGGCACGTTCTGCATGGAGCACTGGGTGTTATGCACAAACAATGAATCATGGAACACTACATCAAAAACTAATGATGTGATGTATGGTGATTAACATAACATAATAATAAAATAAATAACAAAATAAAATAAATAAAAATACTTTTCACCTTGAAAATCTATTGTGAAAGACCAGCATTGTATTCTGTTTTGTTAGCAATATTTGGGAAGCTATTTTTAAAGTATTAATAATTATATCAATAATTCCAACAATGAGCTACGATGTCTTGATATAAAAGTTATTAGATGTAGTAAGGTAGCAGTGTGTTAGAATAACAATTTTTCCTAGCTTTTAGGAAGCTAATTATCTCCAATAATAGGAGAATAAGGAAATAAATAATGATCATCAGTGCAAAAAAAATCTAATTTTAAAAAATCCTCCCAATCTGTCCATCTTTACAAGATATATATGACAGAATTTTACAGTAATTATTAAGCTCTAAAACAGTTTATTGAAAAAAGTCATAGAATCTACACTCTCTCTCTCTCTCGATCTTTAACACACTAAATGTATTTCTATGTTTTAAATAGATTAGAAAGAGACCTCTCTCTTGAAAAAAATGAGATGGATTAACTGTGGTACAGTAAAAAAAAAAAAAAAAGAATCTGGAGTCTGACTATACTGGCTCTTCTAATTACTAGCCGTGGGTAAACTGATCCCTCTGAACTGGCTGCTGAAACAAAAAAATACTATCATCAAATACAACTGTGATAAAGATCAAATGAAAGAATAACATAAAGTGCTTAGCAGAGCATTAGGTGTTCAATAAAGTTCATTTTGTCTCTTTTCTATTTTCACTTTCTCTAAAACACCAGTTTCTTAAACTTTTCAGATGACAATTTCTCCAGTAATCTAATACAAAACATGGGTTCCTTTGAGAAAGGTATATATAGTTGACCTTTGAACAATGTGGGGCTAACAGGCACCAAACCCCCATGCAGTCAAAAACTCACATATTACTTTCGACTCCCCCAAAACTTAACTCCTAATAGCCTACTGTTGACCAGAAAGCCTTCCCAATACCATCAGCAGTTAACACATATTTTGTAAGTTACGCATATTAAATACTGTATTCTTACAATAAAGTAAGCTCGGGAAAAGAAAATGTTATTAAGAAAACCAAAAGGGGGGTGCCGAGGTGGCTCAGTAGGTTAAGCACCCGAACCTTGATTTTGGCTCAGGTCATGATCTCAGCGTCTTGAGACTGAGCCCCACGTCAGGCTCCGCACTCCGCATGGGGCCTTCTTGATTCTCTCTCCCTCTTTCTCTGTCCCTCCCCTCCCCCAAAATTAATTAAAAAGTAAGAAAAATAAAAAAAAAAAGAAAACCAAAAGGAAAAGAGAATACACTTACAACCTACGTTGTGCAAGGGTCAGCTGTATATATATTCACACAAAAGTAAATTTTGATTGTGGGGGAGGAGTTAAATTCACTGACACTTTAGTGTTTTTTCCCTCAGCTTTACTGAGATATAACTGACATATGACACTGTGCTAACTTAAGGTGTATGATGTACTGATGACATTTCGGTTTCTGACTCCAACCACACTCTGAGAAACTCTGATTCAAGATACATATTGATACCAAATTATTCAACAAAATAATGCTCATTTTACAGTTTTGTTTTTACCTAAGTAATCAAATGCTGACCAAGTCTGGAAAAGAAACTTACACTGCAATGATCGAAGACAACCATGCACTGAGGTTCCTTGCTGACTGGAGAGGAGGAGGAGGTATCAACTTCGGGTGCAACAATTACTGGCTCCTGCTGATCCCAGAAGTTGTATTTGCAGAACACAAAGTGGGACAGATGCTGTGGCAACCCAGTGGCCTGGAGTATTTTAACCTGAAGGAAAAGGAAGCCTCTGTTTTTAACTCAGAAAAGGTGCAACAAGTGCCTTGAGTGGGATGTGGGTCCCAGTCTTGACTGTGTCACTACTGGTCCTTCTTGATCAAATCCCCGTCACTCTGGGGCTGTATTTCTTCATCTGTGAAATGGTGACAACTGTCATTTAGTGAGAGGTTGGCACGGGGCAACAACGACCTTGACTATAAACTTCGATAACGACCTTGACTATAAACTTGGATGTTTTCAAGCATGTACAACCAATTCTAGTTTCTTGTAACATCATCATCATCATCATCATATTATAATACTAATAATCAACTCAGAAAAAGAAAGTTCTCAACCATCAACACCATTCAATGATATGAATTTGGCTAACTATGGATATGTCCCAAGAACATAAGATTGTTAAGAATGATGAATGGAGAATGAAATCAGCATATGTGCCAATAAGGAATATTCAGGAAAGAGCAAAAAACATTTATTTGATATTTTGAAGGATAAAAAAGAACAAGGTTCTTGAGTAGAAAGTTATATGCTATTAGAGGATGTTTTGGAAAATTTTAAAGGCATCAGGAATGTATGCTTTGAAGATCTGGAGAGATAAAGGGAGGAGATTAAAGATGGTGAATGTTGACCATCTCTGTACCAACTCTTACTGAGTGCCTTCTCCACGCAGATTTAGGGGAGATGAATCAAAGGAAATGTGCCCTGGACTGCAGGAGTGTAAGGTTTTGTGATAACAACATACAATTAGAAATATATGTCTAATCAGACTCAAATGCGCCAGGAATAAATGCCCATAATGGATTTTAAAGCAGTCCAAAAATTCTAAATATTTCTTTTGGCAGTCAATGTCAGGTTGATTTTTAAGCTGCAATTTTTGTGGTAAGTTGTGACATTCCAAAACTCTTCCAACTATGAAGGAAACTAAATTCTAAAATTAATTAAACAAAACTAAATTCTGATTTTATAATTGATTACAGGCTGACTTTCATATGATTGAGCATTGGTCATTTATTATGTTCTTCTCTGGTCACTTCCTGTATGTTGCATGATACGCTGTGCCTCCAGTAAATAAATTCAACAAAAGTAAACTTGAATATGTGACCAAAGTTGATATAGTTCAGCAACCACAAATACAATCGTCTTAACATTTCAGGAAGCATTAATAATAACACAGAATATCAGGCAAAGCAGATGACTATTTTTCCCATACCAGGTACACATAATGGGTAAGCAGTGGTTGAGAACTCCTATTTTTATTCATTTTTCCCAACAATGGCAACAAGAGTTTGAAACATTTAGACAGCAATTCCCCAACAGGATACAAAAAGACAGTCAATCTGTCCAAACCTAACAGAGCAATCAGTGTTCAGCAATTAATTTTTTGCTCATTTTAAAAACCATCACTTTTTCATTAAGTGTTTAAAATTTTTTATTATATTCTTTAAGGTGAGACAATGTAATATTTGGGAAGATTACAAGATTTCTGTAGAAAAGAGATCTAAATAAAACTCTCTGCCACATAGCAGCTTCTGTTTTTGAGCAGATTAAATTCTTAGTTTTCTTAGGCTGAGATTTCTTCTATGTAAAACAGGATAGCTAATGATACTGGCATGAGGACTGACTATAACAATGGAATGAAATGAATGAAAACACATCCAAGCATTGAGTGGACAGATGTTGGAAACATACTTCTCTGTGATTAAATTCCACTGGAAAGCCAATATTTTTTTCTTAGAAATCAATCTCAATTTTAAGGTTGAAATAAATTATAAGATTTCATATGCTGACCTATATCCTAAAGGCAACTTAGAATGAAGAATATCAGAAATGAGGAATACCCTGATATCCAGAACATAGTTTTTGTTTGTTTTTTGTTTTTTAAGTTTCTGCAAACAGAAATCAAAATCACCACAAGGTGTCAGAATACCACAGACTTTGACTTGCCACTGTTCAATATAAAGCCCAGGACTGTCACAAGACATGCTGTTTGGGGTTTTAAAATATACTCATTTAATTTAATGTAATTTAAAATATCAGTATGTTAATACGTGCATACTTATGTTCATCACAGAAAAATAAAACCAGACTGCTTTTATAAGCTGGTGGTACTTATCACTTATTATTGTTAAGTGTCCCAAACTGATTTCATTTTTTCCACCAATATTTTGTTTACATTCATACAGTCTGTCTTTCTCCTTTTACATAAAAGACTATTACATGCTTAGAATACGGTCTCTAAAAACCACTTCCCACTGAAACGAGCCAGGTTCCTTGGAGAAATGGTTGATTCCGGGTCTGGGATAAGAAAGGTCCAGGATGGGACTAGAATATTCCTCATACCAGAAAGCAAGAAGGCTATCACAGTCTATGACAGTTAGGGTTGTGTCAAAAGGACTCCAGAGAGGAGACCACAGGCCAAAGATGGGATCATGTGAACTTTGATATAGGTAATAAATACACGGACTGAAACACATCAAGGGTGCCTGGGTGGCTCAGATGGTTAAGCGTCTGCCTTTGGCTCAGGTCATGATCCCAGGGTCCGGAGATCGAGTCCACATCGGGCTCCCTGCTCATTGGGGAGCCTGCTTCTCCCTCTGCCTCTCTCTCTCTCTCTCTCTGTCTCTTAGGAATAAATAAATAAAATCTTAAAAAAAAAAAAAACACATCAAATACACTTACACTGAAGAGTTCATAAAATTTGGACTAAAAACAAAATCTCACTGGTTACTTTTGTATATTAGTAGGAAAACCAATTAATTATTTTCAAAATGAGGTTTTTTTAAAAGGAGAAAAGAACGGAGCATTTACCCCGCCTTTCCTATACAAAACTGTATCTCTGAGGAGCAAATACTTGATGTAATAGGACGATTCTTTCTAGCAAAGAATTCTAGCTAATAAATGACGGTTGACAGGATTATAGTATCATTCTTTTCTAACTCCTCATGAAATATCTAGGTATAATCAGCAAAAATTGTTAACATCCCCAAAAGAACACCAGATATAATGTGCCTTCTGACGGAAGAACACACCATCACCTATAAAATGTCCTTGCTACCCCCTTTCCCTTATATCACCTTCATATCTACCAATTTACAGCAAATGCAGCTTAACACATTAAATAATACCAATCAGCAAAATCAAGATTATGAGAAAATACAACCACCCAGTTTCTATGATAAATAAACTATAGGGTAAGAGAGAAACATAATGAGAGAAGAAGAAGCAAGCAAGCATAAGTGCCCGCGCCTAAAGATTAGGATAGATTTAAGAGACACATCAAACAAGACAATCAAGGAAACTGACTGGGTATCTCATATTAAGGAAGTATTCAGTTTTGTTTATGATATAATGGGTTTTTTTAAGTACTCTTCTTTTAGAGATAAATACTAAACTATTATAGATGAAATAAGATGTCTGGAATAGCTTCAAAATCACCCACGGGAAGGAGACAGCACAGACAGGCTTAGGCAGATGAATGAAATAAGACTGACCATGAGTTGATGTTGAGGGAGGGTGGGTGGAGATCAATAACACTTTTCTCACTACTTTTGTATATGTTTGCTATCTTCCACTAAAAAAATCTCAAGATATTTTAACTTCATTTTTTTCTTAAAAAAAAAGCTTATGTTACCCAGGGTATACTACATTTTTTCAGTGATGACTTTCCCAAGCGAGACAATATCCTTGAACTGATGTCAACTTTCACACAGCTGCATTTACTAGTCCATCACCTTTGAAATGGCCCATTATGGAATGATCAAGCCTATGTCTCAACCTTCAGTAATCCTATAACCTCAGAAAAAAATGTTCTAGAATCAAGAATAACATAAAGATTAACGTTTTAGTGAATAAGAATTTTTCCCTGCCTTCTGAAGCATCCAACTTAAATGTCTGAGGCCTTCTTTATACGTGCAGAGACCCTCAAAGGGAGCCCAACTCTAACAGCTACAGCTTCCCCATAGCTTGCAGCAAATGCATCCCTTACTCCTTTCGGTATCAACTCCAATTCTAGAAATATTTACTGAGACACAGGACTGGACTGAGGATGGATGATGAAATCAGAGTTAAGTTTAGGCTTCTTTCACTGCACCTTTGAATGGCCTTCTTCTCACTCGTACACTGTTCCTATGAGCCTTGTGGATTTCTCTTCCTCAAAAACCTTTTCACTGGTTCCTACAGTGATTTTCAACTGTGGCACACTGGCCCAGCTAGGGTGTGTTTGGAAAGGTCTGAGGGGAATTTTTTCATTGTCATAATGTGACAGAGGCAGCACTACCTACACCAACTGGGTAGGAGTTCAGGAATGTAATGACCTATTTAAAATCTACCTACCAATTATCCATGAAAAAAGCACAGCACCCTATGAAGACAGAGTTTTGCATAACATGCCCTCCTTCAAGTCCACTGTGAGTCTTGTTTCCAGAAATTTTCCTCAGACTTTACTTTCTGAATTAATTACCTCTCTTCTATGTCCCCAAATATCTCTTGTCTACCTCTCTCAGAGCACTTGGGTGACACGATATTGGAGTCTTCTGTTCACTTGTGTGTCCCTCTACACATACACACAAACTATACAGGCTGCTCCTTAAGAGAAGAAATCCTATCTTTTTCATCTTTATATTCCCAGTACAATGTCTGACAGATAACACTCAGCAGTGTTCACGAATGGCATACCTGGGAAGAATGGGAAGAGCAGGGTTTGCAACTGCCACATGCTGTCGCATAGCATACACAAAGGCACATGGGTGAAGAGGAACAAAAAACATGTAGAAAAACAGTGTGAAGAATGAGGTATAGTAGGAGCTTAGGAACAGAACCAGGGGTAGGATAAATCTTGAGCCTCAGCAGAAGTCAAGAGGTCCAATAGGAGGAGGAAATTTATGTGAAAAAACTGTGCTTCTCTAGAGAGAAGTTCAGATAAACATAAATCCATATAACTTTGGAGCAGAATGGTTCAGAAGAAAGAGGTGACTTATCCAAGGCTTCACAGAGGCAGGTGGAAGTACCTAGCCAACTGGTACCTGTGAAGGACCTCACAGTGGAAGTACCTAGCTAACTGGTAAATCAGTATATATAATGAAATATGGTCTCTGTAATACCAATTCTAAAGATTTATTTAGACACAGATATTTTCAAAATTCAAAAAGAACACGATATTTATTGTCTAAATAGCCACAATCCTCAAAATCAACTACACTTCCACTACTTCTAAATGAAACTGGGACCTACCATGCACACGAGTCTGTTTTCCTGGGTTTCCTTATCACAGGAGAGATCTGTGGTGTCATCACCTCCAGCAATTCTTTCCCCAATGTCACCACTTATTCGCATCACCTCGACATGCAGCCGACCTGCCACCTAGAACAATAGAGGAGAAGCAGGTATTCTTTCCAGATTTTGTTTTTTCTTCTGTTTTAGAGTTAAATGATTGGGTTAATGGTAAATGAGAATTTAGAAGCCTAGGTTCTAACAGTTACTTTCCCTCAAAGTACTTGGAATAATCACCATCAGGCAGATGGAAACACAGGTATTATTAATGCACATAAATAGCACTTGTCATTTTTAATGAAAAACAGTCACAAAATATACTGTAACCACCCTACTGTTTCTTAAACTTTTCTCTGAAGGAAAAAAGGCATGAAGAGAAAACTAACCTCTCCTTTCTGGTTGACAATTGGAACAGCATACTGTAACTTCACATCGTAGAAGAGGGACTCGAGGAAAACATTCGCCACCCCAATGAGACTATGATTTTCCTGCTCATCATAGAATGGATCAGCACGCTTGAAGTAAGACCGTATGAGCTTTAAAGAGATTTGGAACATCACAACTTCAGAAATCACTTAAAATAAATTAATTCAACCTACTACCACTTTTTGATGGCCTCTCATAAAGTCATTAAACTTAGCTTAAGCACAGCACTGGATTACACGACTCTCTCTTCCTCACTCCCATTAGAATGGTGGTCAGCATACTTCACCCATGACAGCCATCTCAATAATACGTCATTACGTTTATCACTTCTCCTTTAGGTGGAAATCTTGCCATGAAAATAGAGAAAACCAACTGACTAGAAAAAGAAGTTGAGTGTACAAAAGTACTCTTTAGTTTTCACTCCTATTTATTCCACTCGTTCCCGCCAAATCCTAAGATGCATTGCCACTAACAAGAGCTGACCCCCTTCATGAGAGTAGTTTGCGTTTTTGTAATGTGTTAATGTTGTTTTATTTCTGGGCTGAAATACAAGAGGAGTACAGAAGAAAGAGGGAAAAAAATTTTAAGAAAAAAATGTCATCTAATGATAAAAAGTCATTTTTATTGATGATAATCTGGAAAAAATATTTTTTTAAAAAACAAGAGGCTAAAAAAAATAAAAATAAAAAACAAGAGACTAAAAAGTGAACAACTCTATGTGGAAACAAGACCAGCAGGGTTGAAAACTGTAAAAATATAGATAATATGCATTTCTGTTTTAAAATATGCACAAGTACATGGCTGACCTAAATGGGAAAACCTGCAACTTGAGGAGAAAGTTCCAGAGTACAGCTCTACAGCACCCACTTTAGGATCAGAACTCCTTCCAAATCTGCTCTTAGTAGTACAAATATTAAGATACCACTAATGTTCTATTCAAAAAAGAGATATTGTAGGCTTCTATTTGCGAGATTAAATGTGTGGAGAAATGGGAAGAGAGATAATAAGGCATGGTCTCTGTCCTAAGTAAATTCACGGTCCAGTACAGAAGTAGACACATGTGACACCAACAGATGTCAGAACGAAATGTAGAAGATTCTACTAGAAATCCAGAGAACACAAAATGAGGAGAAGAAGATGCCAGAAAAATAGATTATTTTTAATAATTATTATTTTTCTCTTCGTTTATGTTTTTTATTATGTTATGTTAATCACCACACATTACATCATTAGTTTTTGATGTAGTGTTCCATGATTCATTGTTTGCGTATAACACTCAGCGCTCCATTCAATACGTGCCCTCTTTAATACCCACCACCAGGCTAACCCATCCCCCACCCCCCTCCCCTCTAGAACCTATGGTAAGAGCCAAGATGTCCATCGACAGATGATTGGATAAAGAAGATGTGGTATATATATACAATGGAATATTATGCAGCCATTTAATAATTATTATTAAGATTCTTGATTAGCCAAACAATTTATAGAGGATTAAAATAAATATTATTCTAGAAACAGGATTACTATGTTAGCAGAATGAACAATTCTTCCCTAAAACGGGTAGTCTCCTTCCTGCTTGGTTTCTTCTATGACTACCAGTTCCGTAATTTTTATCAAGAGAACTTACTGGGGTATCTTCTTCACACTCTTTCCACTCCTGATAAAGGTCTCTCATATCCAGCAACCTGTTGTCCAGTTTTTCTAGAGACCAAATCTGTTTTCCTTTTCCTTTTCTTCTCACCTGGATTGCAGGTTCACTAAGAAGAGAGCCTCGCTGTAAAACAGTAAGAGTGACCATGTGAAACACAAAGATACCCCCCATGGAAGCCAACTCTGAGCATTCTACACCCACCAGTCAAATGTCATCAACCAAAACGGAATTTCTATCCTTCTCTAGTCAGTTCACTGCAAAACTTCTCAGGAACCTTTTTTTTTTTAAAGATTATTAATTAATTAATTAATTTATTTATTTATTTAACAGAGAGAGACACAGCGAGAGAGGGAACACAAGCAGGGGGAGTGGGAGAGGGAGAAGCAGGCCTCCTGCTGAGCAGGAAGCTCGATGCAGGACTCAATCCCAGGACCCCGGGAACACGACCCGAGCCGAAGGCAGACGCCCAACGACTGAGCCACCCAGGCGCCCCTCTCAGGAACCTTTTAAGCTTAATATAATGCCATTATATTCAACTGTGATCAAAATTTAAATTTAAGTATATAAATTAGATGTAATTTAAAAAGTAAATTTATATAGTAAATTATTCATATAGTAGGTTATTCATATAGTAAATGGGATATAAATTTAAATTTAAAACCCCAAAGACTATGGAGCACCTGGGTGGCTCAGTCGTTAAGCGTCTGCCTTCAGCTCCGGTCATGGTCCCCGGGTCCTGGGATCGAGCCCCGTATCTGGCTCCCTGCTCCGCAGGAAGCCTGCTTCTCCCTCTCCCACTCCCCCTGCTTGTGTTTCCTCTCGCTGTGTCTCTCTCTGTCAAATAAATAAATAAAATCTTTAAAAAAATAAAATAAATAAAAAAAATAAAACCCCAAAGACTAAATCAAAACCTAAAAACCTAAAAAGGTTTTATTCAGGCCATCATCTGACCAAAGAGTATCTGTGGGTAGAAAGAGTCATAAGCATTGATGGCAAGGGAAAGTCTGCTGGGATTGAGAGCTAAGAAATGATCTTTTACCTTTCAAAAGTTTGAATTTAAAAAAATTTTTGAGGCGTGCCTGGGTGGCTCAGTTGCTAGGCATCTGACTTCAGCTCAGGTCATGATCCCAGGGTCCTGGGACTGAGCCTCACATCGGGCTCCCTGCTTGGTGGGAAGCCTGCTTCTCCCTCTCCCACTCCCCCTGCTTGTGTTCCTGCTGTCACTCTCTCACTCTCTCTCTCTCTCTCTCTCTCTCTCTCTCTCTCTGTGTCAAATAAATAAATAAATATATATATTTTTTGAATGGGTAGTATCTTAATGTGGTACAAAACACAAAATGTTTAGAAGAGCAAACTGTGAAAAGAATCCCCATTTACCCATCTGGAGGCAACAAATGATATCAATCTGTAAATACACATAGTTTAAATTTAAAATTAAAAAAACAGTATGAACTAGATAAAGATGCTGGTCATACAACACTGAATGGCCAAAACACTGAACTGTTCATTTTTTTTTAAAGAAAGATGGGGGGAGGGGCAGAGGGAGAAAGAGAGAGACTCTTAGGCAGGTTCCACACCCAGCACCTAGCACAGAGCCCCTGACTCGCAACATGATCTCACAACCCTAAGATGGTGACCTGACCCAAGAGTTGGACTCTTAACCAACTGAGCCACCCAGGTGCCCCTGAACTATTCACTTTAAAATGTTTTTGTTCTGTGTTATTTCACCAGAAAAAAACTTAGAATTTAATGAAGTTTTTCCAGCTTGTAAAAGCAATGTGGGTTTTTTTTTTTAAGATTTTATTCATTTATTTTAGAGACAGAGAGAGACAGCACAAGTGGGAGGGGCAGAGGAAGAGGGAGAGAGAGAATCTCAAGCAGACTCCACACTGAGCTCAGGGCCTGACACAAGGCTCAATCTGAGCTGAAACCAAGAGTTGGACGCCCAACCGACTGTGCCATCCAGGCACCCCAAAACAATGTGTTTCAATATAGAAACAGTTTTAAAACCACAAGTAGAAAATAAAAATACTCCTGTGTATCTCCCCCAGAGAGACATATCTATCAGTTATCAGTTTAGATTTATTGCATAATTTATCAACTGTTTGGATAGATCTACTCAGGACTTTAGGGAATTGTGAAATACACCGATGTTGCTTTACCATTTCACCTATAATCATTTTCAAAGAAACGGAATTTACATAATGAAACAAAGATTCTGAATTCTGAAGCTCAAAAACTGCCATTCTCTCATACTCTAAAGGTCCTTCTACCTCTACTCTGCCTGCTACGGAATAAATACAAAAAGCTCATCAGGGATCCACATGGAGTGGTACTGCAGGTGGAGAATGCTAGAACGGGGGAGGGAACGGCAGCCAGCAATATCCTGCAGCATCATGACTTGGCCCTCCAGCAACTACAACAAGAACTGGAAAAAAGAAAAAAAAAGGAATCTCTGCCTCTTACCAAAATCACGAGAGAGAGGTGAGTACAAGGCCAGGAGTAAGACCAGAACAAACAATAGTGCTCACAGCAAAGGCAAGGCATTAAGTGAAATGAAAGCTTTCAAGTACCAAAAACAAAAGGTCTCATTGGATACAAGAGGAAAGACCCAGCCTGAGTTAAAAAAAAGACTCTCTCCTTAAGAAATACTTCCTTGTCCAGCCCCTCTCTCTGGGTGAAATCTGAAAATACTAATCTATTAAATCAATAGTAGTAGCGTAGATTAGCAGCCATTAACATGTTAACAATGGCTGCCGTGACCCCAGCGATGTGCTTCATCTCTACCAGCCATGCAAACAGCCCCAGAACACACTATCAGCTGTCTAGGAGAGAGGGAGGCCCAAAATGACTTGCGTCACTTCTAGGTACTGACTTGGCTGCCCGGAGGCACAGTTGCTCCTTCCAACAAAGTCTGAGCCAGGATACACAGAAAAGGGCTACAGACAGTCATGCTGCATGGGGAAAAAATGGTTATGTTTCTGTTTTTCCAACTCAAACACTACAGAATGGAAGACCTTGCTCTGCTCAGTTTTCTAGAAGAATCTAAGCCCATGATTGGCTTTCCTCTACTGCTTTTTGTCTGAGTCCCACTGCACCTGTGGTTTGCCCAACAAATGCCAACAAGCAAAATAAAGTTCTAAGTTCAAATCACACACAGAACGTGTATCAAGAGACAAGCCTCCATAGAGCAGTAAGTGCATCACGTTCATAATACTATATTACTCAAAACATTAAGCATCCTATTTGCCAAATATCTACTCTGTGAAAACAATGACCTTGAGGCTGGGATGCCACAAGAAAAAGAAAGATATGGTCCTTGCTACCAAATCCATTAAAGCTTTGTTGTGTCAAATACTGTGGGAGAAATAAAGCACATGGACCCTCAAAATATGTATCTGAATATAAAATTCTATGTACCATCAAAAATTATGTATGAATATGACCGAGAGCTAGAAAAGGGCCTAAATAACAAAGAAAAAAAAAAAACAACTGGATGGCTAGGATAGAAAATTTTGATGGGACTTTCCCCCTACAATTTATTAAGGTTATTACATTATACCAAAAAAAAAGGATTTGTGATCATGAATACGCACATGAAACAACTAATGAACAGTTTTGCTGAGCAATCTATTAGCAAGTGAAAATAACATGATACATGTAAACTAAACACGGAACTTAGGGGAGGGGGGGTTGGAGGGTGGTAACAGAATGAACGGGAAAAATCACTTTCTGAAGATTCATCAGGAAAGACTTCCCAGAAATCATAGAAACAGACCGAAGAAAGGAGGCTGAGTGAAATAAACTGGTGGGGTGTGGTGGGAAGAGGTGGAGAGGGTATTCTAGTGGACAAAGGACACATATGCACAAAGGCAGAAACTTAAAAGCAAATGAATTCTACTCGAGACAGGAGAACAAGTACAAAGGGATGCAGACTGCAAAAAGTGTAGGTGGGGTTGAGGGCAAGCCCACTGGTGTTTAAATACCACTGCTGAAACAGACAAGTTTTCTCCGGTGGTTCCCTTGTTCTCTTCCATTAACGACAACCTCACCTTCCTGTTGGCATCGAGGCTGGAGGCTGGAATCTGCAGGGTTACTTTATACTCTGTTCTTTTATCCAGTTCCTCTGCAATGTAACTAGCTTCTCGCACCAACAGATTGGCTTTCACAATTTGTTCCCTCAGCCTCATCAGGCTATTATTCAGCGTTGCTTCTCTTTAAAAAAAGGGGGGTGGGGTGGGGGAGATACCTATCAAGCAGCACATCAGAGTATTATGTAGTACATAGTATGTTAATGCCAAACTACGAACCAAGCTTTACAACTGCCTTGTGCACACAGGGACTACGTTACTGACACCGACCCATGCACGCGCTTGTATCAGGCCATGTTGTAAGTACTGGCACATGCTCCTGTAACAAGCTGGCCGTTGATTAGGACAGTGCCTCGAAAACTTGACCGTGTATAAAAATCACCCGGGGATCTTGATAAACTAAAGATTTGGACTCACTAGGTCTTGGGTGGGGCCTGAGACACTACACTTCTATCAATCTCCACCTGATTAGAGATGCTGCCTGTCTGCAGACCAAACTTTGAAGAGCAAGAGGTTAGTTAAGTACAGTCTGTAACCATGGATGAGACATTTTAGTGCAATGCTAATTAGCCCATATAGAGTTCAAACTTGCAATCTGCATCTCATTAGCACCATGCTTTACCTACCTGACCTAATGAGGCCAGATAACCACCTTTTTTTTTCCTTTTTTTAAAAAGCATCTACCCAAGCTTCAGAACCTAAGGTATAATACAACGATAAAGTATAACTTCTAAGTACAAATACTTGTTTATTCAAATCCAAAAGCCATACAAACTAAAATGGGGCAGCACCTAACATGGGCAACTTTAAATAAATCAATATAAATTGGTAATTCCCATTTTTCTCAAAAATGAAAAAAAAATGCCAAATGGTTCTAAAGCTGTTACATTCTCTCTAAATATAATTCTTTTTCAAGTAATGTCCAGATTTCTCCAAACTGTATCATATCTCGGTGAGGTAAAGTGTTGAGCATATGCTACGCACACGTAATAAAGGCCCCATGCACCTACCTCTCTTCGGCCCACTGTCTCAGTCGCTGTTGAGCACTGGGTGAATGGAAAGAAAACCTGTCCCCACTACGACAGTTTTGTTTCTCAGGAGACAGCCTTCTTCGTAGCTGCTCCAATTCATGTTCATACATAAGCCTCTGGCGCTCCAATGCAGATCGTTTTTCTTCTTCATGCTGTTGTTCTAGGCTGTTCAATATGGACTGCATTGGATCTAAATAAAGTTTTTTTAAAAGGTAAAAACGAATGAAAGGTCACAGTACAACACCATAGATTTCAAATGTGGTTCTATACTGCTATGCTGTTTGGCATCCTAATTAGTAAATGAAGATTCTTGAAGACAGTCTGGAATAAACTCAGTGTTCCTTACTCCCCACTCCTCATCATATCATCTCTTCTGTCAAATACATGCTGAACTGTCTTCCACAGAGGAAAAGCAGGTCTAGCGTATGTTCTACACGTAACCTAAGAGTGACAGTGGCAGTCAAATTTCAAACCTGAGAAATTCTATTAATGAGAACAAAGTTGGCAGTGATTAGTACTCAAGGCTAAAAGAATGAAAAGTTTTTATAAATGTAATAAATTAAAAGAATATAGAGAATAACATAAAGATTTCCTTTTTTGTTAACATTTAAAAGGTCTCAATCATAAACATTTTTAACTTTCCATCAGCTTTAAAAGATTCTAAAATGCACATATCTGCTCACCATTACCACCCAGAGCCTTCATGGTAACCTCCATTTGCGCATATTCATAATTGAAGTTGATTTCACTGGAAACCTCACTGGAGGAGTCTCCGTCTATGTCGAGCTGCTCAGAACTGGTATCATTCTTCATGGAGGTGTCATGTTCCTCATCCTCTCGATCTGCTTTCTTTTTCTTTTTAGGCAAATTCAGTCTTGGGGGAGGGGAAGAATATTATTTTTAAAATAAAGATACGCACTTATTCCATTCATTAAATACTGGCATTTGCTAGATGCCAAGGGGGTACCGTGTAAGTGTAAGGCAATTACTACACTCCGGAATTTCATCCTCTAGTAGTAGAAATAAACACACATGCATGCACAAATGGTTACAACAGACCATGTGACTCAGGGCCACATGACTGTGACAAGCTCGGCATTGAAGAAAAGCTGAGGACCACTGGAATAACAACAGAAAAGATGACAGAGTAGGAAGTCATTTGAGCCGAGCTTTACAAGTGGGAACAGCATGAGAAGAGATGTGGAAATGGAAACTCTCATAGTCTCTGGAGAAATTATGAATATAACAACATAGGGGCACACAAAATTTGTATAGCAGAAGTTATGGGAGATAATGCTGGAAAGATCAACGTAATTCAAACTATGAAGGTTCTGAAAACCAAGCCAAGCAGTTTACACCTGATTTAGTTTGAAAAGGAAGAAAAGGAAAAATATTTTCTGCACGCTTTGTGCCCCTCTACCCTTTCTTCAGTAATCAAAATATCGACTGGTCCACAAGCAAAGGATCTCCATTAGCCATAAGAAAAGTCAGTCTGATACCCCAAGCATGGTGACCAGTGACAGGAAGAGGAACAGACCAGGACTGTAGTTCTGTACAATCTCCAGCCCGCCCTTCCCTGGCAACACAACAACAGTTTTCTATGGAAAACACTGCGTGCAGTCCCAGCACAGGCTCTTTCTCAGCCCCCCTTGTAGTTAAGAAGCAAATTCTAGCAAATGAGACAAAAATGGAAGATTGTTGGGGGCTCTAGGAAGACTTCTGCTTTTTCTGATCAAGCAGATAAGGCTAGTACCACCTTCTCCCTCATTTTCTTCATATGTGCCTGGATGCTGCTTTGATACCTGGAGTGGCGTGGCCATCTTTAGACCACAGGGAAATGCCAAGACAAAGAGACAGTGACAAGCCTTCTGCCGTGACAGTTTTGAGAGGCTTAGCCAATGCCAACAACCACCCACCTTTGGATTTCTTATTTGGTCAGAGAAACAAACTGTTTAAGCCATTATAGTCAAGTTTGCCATTACTTGCAGCTGAAAACATTCCTAAATAAAATACAAACTTTATTTTATGAATAAGGAAACTAAAACTACTCTTTTCCAATAAAAAATAAACAAATAAAAAGGTAAGCAAGTCAGAAAAAAAAAAATTGATGAATTCTTACACCAGACAGCAAAACAATCATCTTGCACTGGGAAATAAAAAGGAAAAAAATAAGTAAGTAAACTCCTTATTTTTCCTGAGAATATTGTTCATATGTCTCTCAGGCTCAAAGCATACAATGAACAAATCATAGACAGTCAGTAAATACATATGCACAAAATAATGTATGCTTTTTATGGAGTTAAGTTTACCTTCCAATATACATTCTTCTGTTTCAAAGTATAATCTTCAATAATCTCTCTTTAAGAGCCATGAATAATGTCATACCTGAAGAAGTGGTTGTTTCCCCATAATATCCTGTCCCCGTGGTGGAGTTGTATAGGACTAGATACGGAAGAGCCATTTACAAATGTTCTGAGGGGGAGAAGAGGTCAATGCAAACAATGATTATCATGTTTTCCCCTTTAAGTATCCAATACTATAGAGATCTAGTTACTAGGAAAAATGAAATAATCAATTCCCCTGCCCTCAGTGAACTTTATTTGTATTTACTTCTCTGCTAAGAAATGCTTGCAATACTAAATATAATCAACTATTATCCTCTACTTTTCAAAGTTCCAAATTTGTTATATAGCATATTAAGGAGTAAATAGGGAGCCATTACAGCTAACAGTAGAAAGCTGGTAGCAATATACATTACAACTCAAATGAGTATGTCCAATCTACATGAATAATAAGAGCCAATCAACCAACTAGACTCTAGAAATATAAGAAATGAGACCTATGCTAAAATCTTCTGTAACTTCCTAGAGCACAGAAAAACGTTCATATTCTATCAATGTATAAAAGATTTATAAGGTCCACTTGACTGGTTATCTTGACAATGGAGTTCAACAGAAGGGTGGATGGAAGGAGATAAAGGGAAGAATTTGCAGGGGCAGGAAATTAACAAAAATTATGCATACCACTATAAGACTGATATTCCTGGAACACCAGTTTTATCAAGCCTCTCTCCTGCTGAAGGACTCATTTGCTTAGACATAGCATAAAGGCCCTACAAAAGGAAGCCCTATTTATCTCTTCCTTTCTTTCCCCCTTCTAGTGAATTCTCAACTCCAGCCAAAAAAAAGGTTTATGTTCTGTCCACTAAACATGATTGATTGACTCTTCTTTCAAAGCCAGGCTTATTCCAGTCCTGCAACCTGGAATCCTGGAATAGAGCTCCTGCCCTCCCCATTCTCCCCACCAAGGCCTACTCAGCTTTCAAAGCCCAGCTGGTTTCTGCTTCCTCTGTAAAAGCTGCTCGTCACTCCAGCCAAGAGTGTCTTAGTTTCTTTACTGTCCTAAAGCACTTAACTGGCTTTATATTGCTAGTTACTTTTTATGTATATGCATATACATAAAATCCTACTCTCTACATCCGGATTTCACCTACCATGTGGGTTTTTAAACACTAAAAGTAATTGGTCCTCCTATAGTCTGATTATTCAAAGCATGAGCTCAAAAATTATATTAAGAGAGAACCTACTAAAATTAGCAGATTTTAGCCTTTATGACACAAATTCCTTAAATACAATGAGGAGTTCAATTAAAGGCAAACATATATAGAGGCTAACTTTTAAAAGCCACAGCAGTTAAGCCATAATTAGTAAATAAAAGCATGATTATAATCACAGTTTTCAAAGTGTGGTCTCTGTGGGGTCCCCAAGATCAAAGCTATTTTTATAATAATGCTAACCTGCCCTTTCCACCATGTTGACATATATACCAACAATGAGTAAAACCGCTAGAGTTTTAGCACAAACCAAGGCAGTGGCACCAAACATTACTAGTAGTCACTGGACTACTCACTGCCATACACTCACAATTTTTAAAAAATGTTTCCTTTGAGGATGTCCTTGATGAGGCAGTAAAAATTATTACTTTTTGGGCGCCTGGGTGGCTCAGTCGTTAAGCGTCTGCCTTCGGCTCAGGTCATGATCCCGGGGTCCTGGGATCGAGCCCCGCATCTGGCTCCCTGCTCCGCGGGGAAGCCTGCTTCTCCCTCTCCCACTCCCCCTGCTTGTGTTCCCTCTCTCGCTATCTCTCTCTCTGTCAAATAAATAAATAAAATCTTTAAAAAAAAATTATTACTTTTTAAAAATCCTGACCCTGAGTACACAACTTGTTTAAACATTTCGGGTGACAAAACAAGAAGTACATAAAAAGCACTGTGTTCATTCACCCGAGTATGAGGACTGTCCTGAGCAAAAGACATATACAAAGTGGTATCTGGGGCAGCCATTTTCTTGAAAATGGACAAAGCGAGGAAATGCCAACTGTAAATTTCAAGTGAAAATTGGGAGTGTGGAAACTGTGTCAATGTCCTTCACCCAAAGACCACTAGGAGCATTCCTGAGGCTGAACAAGCTGGGCTGATTCCTCATGCACAGGGAGAAGACACAGTCGCAGGAAGCACGGGGTATCTCAGTGACAGTGTGCTCGGAAGGACTGTTACAGGATTTGGGCTTTAGCCGGACGACCTGGCAAAGGCTCTGAGAGAGAGGGGTTCTGGATGTGTTGGATGCTGTCAGAAAGCCGGAGTACTTTTATGATTGGGCATTTCAAAAAAATCTTACCTATAAGAGGAGAGACTAGAATGAGGATAAAGCTGTGACTGGTAAAGAAGTAATCACTCACCTCAGCCAAGAGAAGGTATTTGGTATGTGACAGAGTGACCCTGGCTTTTGTCTGTGCTGAAACAAAATTATTATGTGGCCTGGTTTGTCATATTTTATCACAGCTTCAGAGTAACCTTGCCTAAGGGTGGTATTCTGTGAGACGATTTAATAGGAGAACAGCATGCCCGGGCTGGGAGTGCCAGGCCCAGCTTCCGCTGTTCTTTCCTCTTCCTCATTTGCACCCTTCCCCATGAGCTGGATAGCTTCCCAATATTTAGATTTTTTTGGACAAAATTAGTAATGATATTTTTTAAAGATTTATTTATTTATTTTAAAAGATTTTATTTATTTGAGAGAGAGAGAGAGCGCGCGCATGCAGGAGGGAACGGGAGAGGGAGAAAGAATCTGAAGTAGACTCCATGAAGAGCCCAACACGGGGCTTGATCCCACGACTGTGAGCTCATGACCTGAGCCAAAACCAACAGTCGGACGCTTAACTGACTGAGCCACCCAGGTGCCCCATGATTGACTGATTGATTTTTAAAGAGAGAAAGAGAGAGAGAGAGAGCGAGCACATGGAAGAGTAAGGGGAGGGTCAGAGGGATAGGAAGAGAGAGAATCTCAAGCACACTCCCCACTGAGTGTGGAGCCCAACTTGGGGCTCAATCTCACAAACCTGAGATCATGACCTGAGCTGAAACCAAGAGTCAGATGCTCAACCAACCGTGCCACCCAGGCACCCCAAGATTAGTAATGATATTAATGATTATTCAGTACCACATAATGAAATGGGTCAACATTTGAAGAATCAGTGTAAGTCAGTTAACAGTCATTGACCATTATATAACAGGGCAATAACAGCTTCACAGCTCAAGGAAGCAAACTGAGAAACATTTAATTTATATAATGTTATATCTCTTCATTCATTCATTACTTTTTGAGCATTTATATACTAGTCTTCTATTACATACTAAGGACAGAGATCCAAAAAAGACAGGCCCTTGTCCTCAATGAGCTCACAGTCTACTGGGATAATAAAAGTTAACAGCCCACAAGAACAGAATATGATGGGGCACCTGGGTAGCTTAGTCGGTTAAGTGTCTGACTCTTGATCTCAGCTCAGGTCTTGCTCTCAGGGTCGTGAATTTAAGCCCCGCTTTAGTCTCCACACTGGGCATGGAGACTACTTAAAAAATAAAATAAAGTCTTTTAGGAAAAGAATACAGTATGAAGTCTTAACATAACAGGAAGCATAAGCTGTACTGGGAATATATACTAGGGGCCCTTCATGTAGACCAAACAGGGAATTCCCCCAAAGTAGACAATGACAGAGCTTAGCCTTGAAGGTCAAACAGGAGTCAGCTGCCCAAAGGAATGACAGGCACAGAGGAATAGGAGACAAATAGGAGGGATATAAGGGATTTTGTATCAAAATTAGTAGAAAGCTTGGGGCACCTGGGTGGCTCAGTTAAGTGTCTGCCTTCGGCTCAGGTCATGATCCCGGGCTCATGGGATCAAGCCCCACACTGGGTTCCCTGCTCAGCAGAGAGCCTGCTTCTCTCTCCCTCCCCCTCTGCCGCTCCCCCTGCTTGTGCTCTCTCTCTCTCTCTGTCAAATAAATAAGTAATATCTTTGGGGAAAAAAAAAATTGTAGAAAGCCATCTGGCTGTATGGTAAGTGACCCAGGAAAGAGATTAGAGTGTTGGCATAGTTCCAATCAAGATTTGATGAGGGTCTTATTTAAATAAGGCCACAGTAGTGAGTATAGAGAGGAGATATGGGTTTAAGAGATATTAAAAAGTTCAATGTAAAGGACTTGGTAACTAACTGGATAGCTTCATAAGTGAACTTAAAAGCAAAGGCCAAACATGCTGTATAACATCCACAACTAGTGTACTTTCGTCCTCTTAAAAAGTATTGTGACATTAACACTAATGAAAGTATATTACCTGGTATTCTTCTGAGGAGTCAGCATGACCTGGCCTTCTGCTGTGATGTCTATAATACAATGTTCAGGAAGAATTCCCATTCCACAGAGCTGGATATCTTGGGAATTTGCTGAACCTATCAATGTATGTTCCTACAAAAGAATCAAAGTCACTGATAAGTATTATATTCTTACATATATAGAAACTGAATCTCCTCTGAGCCCTCTTACATTGATCCATCACCTTAGCGAAAAGGTTTTTTGAAGCAAATGGAATGGGGTAGAGGGAATTTCAGGCTTTCTCTGAAATATATTCTATAAGGTGTATTTCCTTATAAGGAATAAATAGCACTGAGTTGAGTTACACCTTTTAAAACTAAAACTATAGTTTTATATTAATGTCTATACTACATTATTTTCCATTGCAATCTTGATCCCAAATATTTTATACTACTCTCAGAGCATGAGCCATGTGTCAATAATGCACCAAAATTACTGGTCTGAAAACTACAGTTACTTAAGTTGTATATCACTTACCTGGTCTCAATCAAGATAATCAACACAAAGATAAAAAAACTATTCAAATCTAAGGAGCTTGAAAAGATTAAAATTACTTTATGAATCCCATGGTCTCCCTAATCCTCATAGAAGATATGATGGATGTGTTCTTCTTACTGTAGAGCCACAATCAATTCTTGAAGCCCCAATCACCAGCCTTCCTTTTTGGCTGGCAACTAAGAAAGCAGATACAGAAATCAAGCTCCCTCTTATGCAGTTCAACACTTAACTACTGGTACATAATTAAACAATGATAACACCTGGATGTGTCCCTAAGCCACCTTCTCCTTCCATACACCTAGATCAGTGGTCAGATACAAAATATGTTAGGCTTTGCAAGCCATATGTAACCACTAAACTCTGCCTAGTAGTATGAAAACAGACAATACACAAATGAACAAGTGTGGCTACTTTCCAATAAAACTTTATTTATGAACACTGAAATTTGAACTGCATATAATTTCCATGTGTCTGAAATACTGTGGTTCTTCTAATTTTTTTCCAATCATTTAAAAAGATGTAAAAGCCATGGGCACCTAGGTGGTTCAGTCGGTTAAGCAACTGCCTCTCAGGTCATGATCCCAGGGTCCTGGAATCTAGTCCCGTGTGGGGCTCCCTGCTCAGCAAGGAGCCTGCTTCTCCCTCTCCTCCCTGCTCATGCTCTCTCTCTCTCATGCACTCTCTCTCAAATAAAGAAATAAAATCTTTAAAAAAAAAATGTAAAAACCATTCTTGCTCCCAGGCCATAGAGAAGCAGGCAGAGAAATAGATTTGGCCGGTGGAAGTAGTTGTGGACCTCTGATCACGATGATTTTATCCAGTTGCAGGGGTTTTAAATACTGCTGAAACAGGGAAACTAAAGGAACCCCATGAAAAATTGCTGTTTTTGCTCCTTTTCCTGCTTCTATTCTTGCAAAGGCCTACACCCAAAGGCTGATCATGCGGGACCCCCTCTGGGTCCTCAGACCCCGCCTGAAGGCAACACTGTCTTTATATAAATTAAATCACCGGTGAGGAAATATAGACTTCAGTTCCATTATTTTCCTGCCTCCACTACCACTATTCTAGTCTCGCTAGCCATTATTTCTTGCCTACTTGGATGCTTAAAGACATTTCTTTTTTTTTTTTAAGATTTATGTATGTATGTATGTCAGTGAGTGAGCGAGCGAGTGGCTAGCAAGCGCACTCTCAAGCTGGGAGAAGAGTGGAGAGGGAGGGAGCGGGAAAGAATTTCAGGCAGACTCCACCCTGAGCACGGAGCCTGACATGGGACTCCATCCCAGGACCCTGAGATCATGCCCTGAGCCAAAACCAAGAGTCGGACGCTTAACTGACTGAGTCACCCAGGTGCCCTGCTTAAAGCCATTCCAAAGTGTCTAAATGTCATGACATTTGAGTGTCTAAAGACATTTCAAAGTGAAAAGCACAAAGCAGAACTTCTGCTCCCCCAACCTTACCCAATGAATCTATTCTCTTCCCCATTAATAGTCATTACTGCCACCACCCAGTTAGTCCGCTAAAAAGCTTAGATGCTCCTGAGTCCTCTCCTTCCCTTACCAGCCTACCCCTGGGCCCATGTCAATCAGAACATCTCTATAGACTGTCCCTCCAAAACATATCCAGAATTGGCTTATTTTCCCCCACCTCTACTATCACACCCTGCTGTATTGCTGGGGTGAATACATGAACCTCCTGTTTTCTCCACTTCTAACCCTAATCCCCCAGCCCCATCCATCACCAGCATAATAGCTGATCATGTGATCTCCTTATTTAAAACCCTCTAGTGGTTTCCCTTTGAACTTCGAATGAAGTCCAAATTCTTATCCAGGCTTTCAAAGAAACACTCAGTGATGTGGCCCCGCCTACCTCTCCTATCCTAGCTCCTGCCACTCCCCCTTCTCCTGGAGCAAGATAAGGCTACACTGGCTTTTTATCTGCCCCTTGAGCACACTGGCGGTTTCCTCGGTCTGAAACATTTTCCCGCTGACCTTCATATTGGTAATTTCTTACCATTTCTATCTCACCTTTAAAGGGCACATTCTCAGAGAGATATATTTCGAACTGATAATCAGAAATAACCACCCCATTACTCTCCTATTTCAATTCCTTACTTAGCACTGACTGTGGTGGGCTCAGTATCTGTCTCCACAGCTAGCATGGAAAAAGCAGAGAACAGCTTGACCCACTCCCCACTGTAATCCAAGCACTTAACACAGGTGTGGCATAATTAGGAATTCAATAAATATAAAAGAAAAATAAATGAACAATCATTTCCCTTCAGACTCAAAGGAAGACAATTCTCTCCTCTTCTTTGCTGGTAACTCTTCTAATTATGTTGTGGGTCTCAGTGCTTCCCATCTCTTCTGGGACCTCCATCTCATAAAAAGGGCCCTTCCCCACTAGTATTTTCATTTCCCCTTTTCTGGGGGTTTCTTCACTCAACTATACTGCAGTGGTGTTTCTAAGGAAACAAAGAGCTGGGGATCCAGAGCTGTCCCATGGTATCCTATTCAATCCCCAAGGAGTGTATATAATACAGAGAACATTCCACATAAACCTTTACCCCTCACTACTAGCTGAGGCTTCCTGGCTAATCCTCATACTTTCCTAATCTGGAGAACAAGACCTGACTGTGTGGAAACTGCAAGTAATGCTTTATGATGTTCAGTAGCGGGCCTAAAGAATCTATTCCATGCCTGTCTCCATTCCCCACTTTGGTTCTTCCCACCCTGACTTTACAACACCAACCCCATGCTGGAGAGAAGTTCCAAGAGGAGGAAAGAAATATCTAAAGAGAGGGATGCCTGGCTGGCTCAGTTGGAGGAGCATGTGACTCTGTCTCAGGGTTGTGAGTTCAGGCCCCACACTGGGTGTAGAGATTACTTAAAAATAATAAAATCTTAAAAAAAAAAAAAAAGTCTACAGAGAAAAAGGACACAAGGCCACCTAAAAAGGAGGAAAAATCCCCAAAGCACTTGGTTCAGGCCACTTCCATGTATAATCCCATTTCTCCTCCTGTAAGAAATTCTAGAAGGAGTCCTAACAGTGACTTTGGTGGAGGTGGAGGTAGAAGTAAGCCTTGAGCTATATATTCCAGGCCCACATCTGTGCCCTTGCTCTTGTTCTCTTTGCCTGAAATGCTCCCTCTTCCCTTCAACTAAATGAGAATGTCTTTCAATACCTAGGTCTAGTTTCATCTTCTACTTGAATGTTTCACCATTAGGCCACACTGACTTCTCCCTTCTCTGAACCCTGATTACATTCAGAGTGGGTACCACATTTTACTACCTGTTGTACAAATGGTGTTTTCCCTTTATTTAGACAGCAATCTTTACAGGACTCCTGCATCTTCTCCAACAAAGAGAACAGTACATGATACATAGTGGACGCTAAGTATCTGGTCATAGACTGAATTAAAAATTACTGGAGACAAGATATTAATACAAACGTGCAAAGGTCTAATCCAAATTCTAGGAGAAAAACTTCATTTTATCAACAAATATTATACTGAACACCTATCATGAGCTGGGCATTGAGTCACCAGAGATAAAAGAGAGACAAAGTCCCATTTGTGGTGCTTATGATCTCAGCGACAACTTAAATTTCTCATTTGAGATTATACTCTATTCTGATTTGGATGATTTGCTGGAATCTCAAACATTGAGCTCTAAAAGCTCCATCTGCCCAAAGCCTTACTGTCTGATATTTAAACAAGTTGGACAATAAACTTCTTGATAAATTCCTCCTATTGTGCTCTAAGCACTGCAGTAAAAATACTGATGAGGAAAAAAATAAACATCATAGGTTGGTATAGAGGTTATCTAATAAGTGCTATGAAAGTACAAGGTAATCAAAATAAGATAAAGTTAATCAGGGGTGGCTTTTCAGTCTCTATGTGATATATGGATATAATGATTCTTTTTCTAAAAAATTTGTTTATTTTAGAGAGAGAGAGAGAGAGCACAGGTGCACCAGGGGGAGAGGGGCAGAAGGACAGAGAGTCTCAAGCAGACTCTGTGCCAAGTATGGAGCCCAACACAGGGGCTTGATCCCACGACCCCCAAGATCACGACCTGAGCTGAAACCAAGAGTTGGACGCCCAACCAACTGCACCACCCAGGCACCCGTGGATATAATGATTCTTAAAGTACACTAGTTTTCGGGAAAACTTTAACAAATATAAAATACTAGATTTAAAGATCTCAGAAATAATCAAAGGCTAGAAATGGCATTTTAACCTTTCTTCATCCATTTAAATTTAATTTCACTGGAGATGATTAGTTAACTATTCTATGAATTTATTGTACCTTGCTTCCTTTATAAATCAACTACTTACGTGGCTCTTTTAAGAATCTCCCTTTCATCAACTAAGTCCTAAAAGAAAGAGAGAAAGACAGAGACAGAGAGGAACAGGGTGAGGTGAAAGGAGGGAGGAGAGAAAGGAAGATGAAAAGAGACAGGACTTGTCCACTAGTGACAAATTTCACAGGGCAAGCTTTTCCGAGCCTGCAAGAAGGAAAAGTAGCATATTAGTAAAGCCTGTGAGGTTCCTCGGCCTTATCAGCGTTCTCAGATAATTTCTGAAGGAAAAGGTAAGTGAGTACCAGGGTATTAAGCAGAAAAGTAGTTACTCCTCACATATTTAAATAATCAAAATTCTTTCATAAAGAAGTCACGCTGGTTTAACAGAACCAAGACTCTGAAGACAGCTGTTCTGGAATGGAGGTGAAAAAGGCAGGAAGGTATCTGCCCATCTTTTATGAATTCAAGTCCTACACCACAGGAGTCCCACTGCTGCCGACCCAAGAACTCCTAATGTGCCCTAACTGTGTCTTATTCATCTTGGGGTCCTTGAAACTGAACCCGCAGCTCCACAAACACTGACTGGCTGGTGCCTCTGCCATTCTAATCCCCTCAGTCAGCGACCAAATACTGGCCAAGACGACGACTGGCATTGTCATCTATATGATCGACATGTGTTTTAAAGCTGCTGCTGCTTTAATCATTTATCAAGGTATGAATCCTTACAGTGCATATATAGAATTTGCCCCAGATCCTTCAGAATCAGCCTTGTTTCCCAGGCCATTAATAAGTGACTTGTGAAAAGCGTAGATCCAGAACTGCATGAGCAAAATAGCCCTCCTGAAAAGATTTGGTGGATAATTGAAAGGCGTGTTTAGATCAATCATATTATGATCCCATTTCTGTAATATAAAAATATGTATCATTCTAAGTCTATAGACATACATACAGGAATAGATCCAGAGAATATGGATAAAACTATTAAATATTAACTGTGGTCCTCTCTGCATGTTGGAATTTGGGCACGAATCCCCCTCCCCTTTTTCTAGTAAGTATTTATAAAACTCTTCAGGAAACAAAGTGTATTACTAGCATCATGTTTTTAAGGTGGGGTAAGCAGTTCTTCCCTCTAGAAGCTTGGCCAGCACTGGAAGACTATCTCAGAATCACAGGCAGTCCTTGCTTTGCACGAGAACACAGAACTGTAAAAATAACTTTGCAAGGAGATCTTAATAATCAATGGGGAAAACCGCAATTATTCTGTGACTTTTTAAAATGTCCGTAAAAACATTAAGAATTCTCTTACTGTCACAATGTATAAGGAAATGAAAAAACAGTAAAACTATTTAGTATACCATAATTTAGAATATTGGGCACACCGAAATTTAAAACATTTTCTTTGCGAAAAACTTAAGAGTAGTTTGAACACTACTTGCCTTCTTCTCAATATATATATATAACTTACAATATGGAGTGAGCATATTTTCTGTGCCTTGGCAAACTGTGATACTCCTTTCTAAGGAACTACCGTTTTAACCTCTGTGCTCCAGACGCTGCAAAATATTTCCAAGACCTCCTTCAATGGGAAGTGTTCTCTGGCGTCACTCCCTTTGGGACATCTTTATCCTTCTCGTCACACTTTCATGACTTACATCGAGAAGTTCACCCTCACTAAATTTCTCTGGCTGCATATGTAGAATCTCACGAACAGCAGTGGCATGCATCAACATTATTTACTAAATTGTGGTAACTGGAATTTGTGCGTGTTGGAACCATGCAACACAAGGACTGCCTATGCATGCAAATTAGATACAAAATCATCTTGGGAGTTATGTTCCATCTACGGTTTGGCCACCATACCCTGCCTCTGCCAGTTCCAGACTAAACAAATAAATGGAGGATTCTGTTCTGGAAGAGACCCATACCACTTGGAACTAGAAAAAACATTAGAGATCATTTAATCCAGTGCTCTCATTTATAGATGGGGTGCTGAAAATCACCCAGAGATGTGAAGTCATCTGCCCAGCATCTAAATTGACTTCAGAATTCGAAGACAAGAAATAAAAAAATAAATAAATAAATAAGTAAAATGCTCAGCCTCCAAATTCCTCCTTCCCACATCATGGTATCACTTTACTGAAGCAAAAAACTGTTCTTGGACTGAGATCATCCTTCTGAATGTGCTTGGTCATGAATATACTTTTGTCATGGGGTTAGCTTGGGCAGTGAAGAAATCAACACTACCTCAAACTCTGCCAAAACAGGGTTGACCACACAGTCTGAAACAGAATCCCGACACCCCCACACAAGATGACCAGAAATATTTTGATTACCCTCCAAAAGTCTTTAAATAGTTTCTTTGTTTAATTTTTTAGTTAAGGAACAGATATGAATCAGGTTTTTTTCTTGTTGGGCGTATGTGTTTGTGTGTTCCAATCTGAACTTCATCACATCAGAAAGAAAAAGAATTCAGAGTTCTGAGAAATAAAAATATTTCTGAATATTTGAGTCCTATTCTATACTACACCTCTCCTAAAGCATATGAGTATCTGCAGCTGAAACCCTAACACAAAATGCTGCCACCATCATTAAGAAACACAGTACGGGATGTAATCATGTACACTTTTTTTTTCTAATAGACAAGGATAATATACATAAGGTACCACACAGAGCATCAAATAAGACATGTGGAATATTTTATATTTATATAGTGCTTCTGTTTACAAAGTGCTTGTAAATCTCATGTAATCCTCACAGGAACCCTGTGAGGTAGCCAGACAAAGCATCCATTTATACAGGAGGAATCTGTAGACTGGAGGGGGAAATGGACTTGAGATCACACATCCAGACAAAAATGCGGGTCATCTCCCTGCTACTCTCATGTTGCTCCCACTTGAGTACGATATCTGGGAGCGCACATAGGCTGCATGCATCAAAAACACAATTTACCTCATAGCGTAATAAAACATGGTATCAGATACTCATTAATAAAGGGGCTTTATCAAAATAACACAAACCAGTTATGCCAGGATATCTCTGATAAAAACTGGGAAACTAGCCAATGCGTCGTGAATTCTTTAGTCTCTTTAGAAATGATGCCACATGGCTTTAATTTTAAAGCAGTTTCCAACTTTACCAGCTCATTATCTTTAACTTCCTAGTCACCTTAGTTAAATCTACATATATAGTGCCTATATTGTAAGGGAGGGAAAAATTTCCTCCTAGTATTTACTGACCACATGTCAGAATACTATAGTCCATTACCTAATTCACTTATGCTCTGGGCATGACAAAGTGATTATGAGCTCCTCATAATTTATGTAGTGGCTCAGGATTCCCGCTCATTCTAAAGTTGTCTCTTGTCTCCCTGATATGTCCCACAATTTACAGATTTCAACACACATCACTGTTTGGGTTTTCTATTCTGTACTCTGACCCTCTCAGTCTCTAAGTGATCTATTCTTTTTTTTATAAGTTGATAATCCCAATTTTTAAATTTTCCTAAATTACTGGAAACACAAAACTCATAGTAAGTAGCCTCACATCATAACTTTCTTTAAACATTTCCTCTTGTAATCTAACCACTCACAAAAAGGTGTGCTTCAAATAAACCACAAAAGTTTTAGTCTACTAATAAATCATTTAGTTTTAAAAGTCTTCCTTTAGGGCGCCTGGGTGGCTCAGTCGTTAAGCGTCTGCCTTCAGCTCAGGTCATGATCCTGGAGTCCTGGGATCGAGTCCCACATCGGGCTCCCTGCTCAGTGGGGAGTCTGCTTCTCCCTCTGACCCTCCCCCCTCTCATGCTCTCTCTCGTTCTTTCATTCTCTCTCTCAAATAAATAAATAAAATCTTAAAAAAAAAAAAAAGTCTTCCTTTAAGCTTTAAAGTTATCTACTTAACTCCCTGGTATAAATCACAGTCAGTAATAGTAGCTAAAGTTACTTAGTTTCTTGGAAATAACATCAGAATATTATGTTTTATATTCCTAGGTTGAATTACATTACTCAAAGACTAAAAAGGGAAACTAATCCCAGGTGTGCCTGGGTGGCTCAGTCGGTTGAGTGTCCGACTCTTGGTTTCGACTCAGGTCGTGATCTCAGGGTCATGGGATCAAGCCCCATGTCAGGCTCTGTGCTCAGCGGGGAGTCTGCTGGAGATTCTCTCTCTCCTTCTCTCTCTCTGCCCCTTCCTCACCCCCCACTCTCTCTCTCTCTCTCAAATAATAAATAAATAAATCTTAAGAATAAATAAAAAGGGAAACTAATCTCAGAAACTCAAGATTTTCTACACTTCAGCTTATTCAAATAAAAACAATTTGCTAATTCTCATTATTTTGGAATAAGCATGGCTCTCTAAGTTTAAAAAAAAATACCATGAAATACTGTTCTTATTGTGGCAGGAAATAGCAGCAAAGCCTGTTACCTCACCTTTAAATAGTAAACCAGAAGTTCATTCAGAGCAGGATCAGCATTCAGATTAACAAGGAAGCATTTATCATCCCCAACTTTAATCCCAGAAGACTGAAGAGATATTCCAAGACTCTCAAGCTGTTTCTGCCGCTCCTGTAAATGTATTAGAGAACTATTAATTCCACAACTATTGACACAGCAAGATATAAAAGGTCGTACACTGGAATAATTATTAAATAACTTTACAGTTCAAATATGTTATCTTAGGACATGGTATTATAGATTATTGCCTTTTTTCTCTCTCTAAACTATATAATGTTATTTTATCTTGTTACTTAAAACTTTATTTTGAGGGTGCCTGGGCGGCTCAGTCCTTAGGCATCTGCCTTCGGCTCAGGTCACGATCCCAGGGTTCTGGGATCGAGCCCCACATCTGGCTCCTTGCTCAGCAGGGAATCTGCTTTTCCCTCTCCCTCTCCCTGCACTCCCCTTGCTTGTGCTCTGTCACTGCCTCTCTCTCTCTCTGTCAAATAAATAAAATCTTTAAAAAAATTTTTTTTATTTTGAGAAATAAAGGCATTACCAATAGCAACCAAGTATTCTACTGAGTTCTCAATTATCATTCTTGAAAATACCTGACATCTTGAATTTGTCTTTCTCATTTAATTCTGTGCATATGAGCAAAGCTGTTCTACCAACTGTGGTCTTTACAAAAGGTCAAATTTTCAATGCACTCCCTTGCTTGATAGCCTCAGTGACTCCCCAGCCAGGATAAAGGCCAGACTCCCTCAACGAAGTCCACAGGTCCTTTGATCTGGCCTGTTTCCTCTCCGTCTTCATGTTTTATCATTCCTACTCTCAAAGCCTATGCTATAGTTATATGGAACTCTTCCAGGTCCCTGAAAGTGTCAAGAATGCGCTCCTGAGCTTAAGAGATTTTACACCTGTTTCTTCTATCTGAAGGGTACTTGTTCTCATACTTGGTAACTCATACTTGTTTACGTGACTGTTTCTCTATGAGGGCACAGATCCTATATACCCACTGTGAATTCCTAGCACCTAGTACAGTGCACGACACACAGTGAGCACTCAAAACGTGAGTCTTGTGAATGTGTCAAAATAAAACTTGCCTATGCATTCAAGTACTATTTTCATAAGAATATGAACCTTTCTTTTTTGTGCCTACCTGCCTCTGAATCCACACAATATACAAAAAGTATGCATATAGGGGAATACAGGTGACTCCTGTAACCAATGCTCTAGGATTAAGGTATATGAATTGGGGCAGAACAGGGTGTCTTTGACTATATATAAATAGCAAGTGGTAATGAGTCATAGCCACCAAAAGCCTTTGATTGTAAAGAAAGACAAGACAAGCTAAGTCATTCAACTAGGGCCACAACATAAGTCTGCAGTACAATTAAATTACAGCTTAAGGATTTTGCTATTTTTAGGGATACCATCCCAAAGTTATCTGACCATGGACCATTTTTCTTCCCAGAAGACTTATTAATAATTGGTGGCTATATTGCCAGCCAGAAATACATTTTGGGAAATGCTAGTCTCTTTTGAAAAAAGGTCAATGACCAACAGACTACGTCTTTTTCCCTGAGAGAGGAGAAGCAAGCTCAGCAGCATGAAAGGCTGGGGACTTGCGAAGATAAGGTGTTAAATGAGGTGCTGGATAAAATCAGGCACAGTCCTCAAAAGGGATACCTGACAGAGGAAGAGAACAGTTAGGTAAGGAAAGATGCTAACAGTTAGATTCACCAGCATTAACACTGCAATTTCACTTAGACCTATCCTGCCTTGTATCAGCTAAGCAACTCAAATACAATAGCACTTCAAAGTCAATGTTTTCTTTTGGAGTAGCTCTAAAAGGCTCACACAAATTAGTTCTAAACTGGATAACTATTAGAATGACTTATAATTTATGAAAAACAAAAAGTAAAATATGTAATGAGAAATAAAGTTCATACACTGGAATATTCTCTTCCCTGTAATTTGAAGGAGTTGCATTAAAATAACCCCGTGTAGGGATACAGATAAAACAAGACTGGTCATATGTTGATCTTCAATGAAACTGGGTGATGCCACATGTGGATTCATTATACTCTTCTCTCTTGTTTTTATCTATTTTGAAAATGATTATAATAAAAAATATTTAAAAATAAGTCTGTACTAATATCATATCCACTTTATGCTACATAATAGTTGTACCATCCTACAACATCTGATGTATAAATTGATTCTGGACAGCACATTTAAAGATGGAACCTGCTGGGTGACAAAAGTAGCAAGTTCTGTATATTTACTAATATGAGGAACAGTTGAAAACACCAGAGATTTTCAACTTTAGAAAAGGAGAGGAAGAAGGCAGAGGTTACCTTAAATATCTGGGTAATGACTGTCCCTGTATTATAGGGCTTTTGGGGGGATTAAATAAAATACCGTACTTAAAAGCACTTAGCATAGGGCCCAACAGGATGTATGCAATAAATATTTGCTATTATTATTACTCTCAGTTACTGTATATATGTGGGACACCCATTCTCTTAGCTTTGGAAGAACAAACTAAGGACCATGAGCAGAAATGAAAGAAAGATTTCGATTAAATAGCTACCATTAGAGTTATCACAGCTGTCCAATCATGAAAAGACTGTTCGACAGGGTATTGGCCTCCACATTACCACATATATTTCTAAAACGGAGGCTGAATACACACCTAAAAGGAATGCTACGGAGTAAGTCTTTTATTAAGTAGACAACTGGACACTAAGGATTCTTTCTAAGTGCTAATGTTCCCTCCCTAAAATTTCACAACTCTATCTGTATTAAGTATTCTAAACATAAGAGATAGACAGCTCAGATTTAGGTATTTCATATTACTTTTCCTGAGTATATACTAATACTATTATAGCCGAGCATCGACCAGTAATAATTTCGTAGTTTGGGTAAGTTCGTAGTTTGGGTAAGCAAAGCACTTAATAGAATTGGGGGTTCATAGTCAGAGGCTACAAAGTAGTTACTTCATTTAAAAAAATGCTTATGACCCTAAAAACATTTCCTACATAATGAACTATTAATTGTAATTACATCTTATCCTTCAAATTAACTTTGTAAAATAGAGACTCTTGGATCTAGGTTCTTATTACTGGTGCTAGATTTGCCATCTTCAAAGCTAAAAATCAAAAAAGGAACCAGAAACGTCATGAGTTGCATTGCACAAACTGCCACGAGCTTTCTCTTGCTTTAATCAGGAAGCACGAACCTGTGCAATCTCCTCGGTTTTCCTTAGTTTCTCCTCCCAGGTCACAGTCATTTCCTGGATTAGCTTCTCTGATTCTTCTAGCCGATCTTTCAGTTCTGGAGATTTCATTGCCTGTAAGAAAATATTTATTTAATGAAATGTCTGTACCATGCCCTGAAGAAAGCACTAACTAAATCCAGAAGGATAAAAGTAACAATCCGCCTCCTCTCAGCTCTACAATTCACTGAGGTCTCTGATCTACCTAAACCAGAATGATGAATGCCACTGACACACAGCACCCAGACTGTATGCATCCCACAAAGCTCATTCAGTTACCCAAGGTGGGCTTGAAAGAAAGACTTAACTGTTTTCTTCCAACCTACTGTCACTGTGAAGATCTAATTACCTTTTTTTTTTAAAGATTTATTTATTTATTTATTTGACAGAGAGAAGAGACAGAGAGAGGGAACACAAGCAGGAGGAGTGGGAGAGGGAGAAGCAGGCCCCCTGCCGAGCAGGGAGCCTGATACAGGGCTTGATTCCAGGATCCTGGGATCATGACCGGAGCCAAAGGCAGATACTTAATGACTGAGCCACCCAAGGGCCCCAAGATCTAATTACATTTAGAGAGACAGAAAGTTCAAGCTCTCAAGGGCTTATTTTTAAATCCCAATAGGTCATATACCTAGACTAATACACAGGATTCATTCTAGTCTCTCCTGATGACTTCAGGTATTGATTCAAGTATATACTGATAATATCTGTACATGTTGTAAAGTGAATGGTGTTATTAATACCAAGAAGATGGAAACAAAATTTCAAAGAATCTTGATGAACTGTAAAATTACCCCTGTAAAAAAAGGATAAATTTCAACAGGCAAAAATGTAACTAAGATAATTATTTTGACCATGTATTTTACCAACTTACTACCAGAAAACAGATTATAAGAAAGAAAAGGGCTATGGTCCCGACCCCAGGAAAAGTCCCCAAGTACTGGGAAATCATGGGAACAGAATGCTAATTAAACTAGAAATCCTGAATCCGCTATTTTATTTCACCTTTGAAAAGAGGATGAGCATTTGGTTTTAGGTTAGAATTATATAGGTTTCAAATTCAGTAATGGAACATAAACACCATACATTACAGAATGTACAAAGGGTAGTGGAAACAGAGCACCTCGAAATAGTTGTTTTTTTTTTTTTTAAGATTTATTTATTTGAGAGAGAGAGAGAGCATGAGTGGGAGGGGCAGAGGGAGAGAGAACGTTAAGCAGACTCCCCACTGAATGCAGAGCCCAACACGGAGCTCGACCCCACAACCCTCAGCTGAAACCAAGAGTCAGACACTTAACCAACTGCGCACCCAGGCACCCCTAAATAGATGCTATAAAATATTTTTTTCTACAAACATAATTAAGCCACAACATGGAAAAACTAGATTATTAAGATGTGGAAGAACTCCTTAAGATTTCCATTCTGATAAAGAAGTTGTGGTATATATACACAATGGAATATTATGCAGCCATCAAAAGGAATGAGATCTTGCCATTTGCAACGACGTGGATGGAACTGGAGGGTGTTATGCTGAGTGAAATAAGTCAATCAGAGAAAGACATGTATCACATGACCTCACTGATATGAGGAATTCTTAATCTCAGGAAACAAACTGAGTGTTACTGGAGTGGTTGGGGGTGGGAGGGATGGGATGGCTGGGTGATAGACATTGGGGAGGGTATGTGCTACGGTGAGCGCTGTGAATTGTGCAAGACTGTTGAATCACAGATCTGTACTTCTGAAACAAATAACGCAACATATTTTAAGAAAAAATGAAAAGAAGAAGATAACAGGAGAGGAAGAAAAGGGGAGTATGTCAGAGGGGGAGACGAACCATGAGAGATGATGGACTCTGAAAAACTGAGGGTTCTAGAGGGTAGGGGGGTGGGGGGATGGGTTAGCCTGGTGATGGGTATTGAGGAGGGCACGTTTTGCATGGTGCACTGGGTGTTATGAACAAACAATGAATCATGGAACACTGCATCAAAAACTAATGATGTAATATATGGTGATTAACATAACAATAAAAAAATTAAAAAAAAAAAAGATTTCCATTCTGCGGGGCGCCTGGGTGGCTCAGTCGTTAAGTGTCTGCCTTTGGCTCAGGTCATGATCCCAGGGTCCTAGGATCGAGCCCTGCATCGGGCTCCCTGCTCAGCGGGAGGCCTGCTTCTCCCTCTCCCACTCCCCCTGCTCATGTTCCCTCTCTTGCTGTCTCTCTCTCTCTCTCTGTCAAAATAAATAAATTAAAAAAAAAAAGATTTCCATTCTGCCTTCAACCAATGAACAAATGATACAACAAAACCTGCTTGAATCCTCTCCCCATCGGTCTATGTCCACTCTCCACCATTTTCTGCACTAAAATTGCATACATTTTGTTTCAAGCATCTCTCTCCTTTATTCTTAGTTATACCTATACTGTGGAAAGAAACATTTTCACAATTCCCTTTATTCTCGCCTCCTGTTCAATCCTTTCACATCTGTAAAAACTCTCTAAATTGCAACTATAACCCTCTATCTTTATTTATCACTCATCTCAAATTTCTCTCCCTACAGGAAACGCAAAAATTCTAGGTGGAGTACTTATCACTTACAGCTAAGGGGAAGACAATTCAAATTCTAGCTTTTCCTAGACCCATAAAGTGTGGCTTGGTTGTGCCTTATACCTCCGCTTTGGTTAGCTGCTCTCGGAGCTTTTCTACTTCCTCCCGGAGATCCCGGATAATTCGTGCATTAGGATCCTCATTCACCACAGCATGGTTCACGATGTTCTTGGCGCGATCTGCATACCGCAGAGTTGAAAGGGTTTCATCATAGTTATCGGCTGCTGGACTGACGGTGGCCACCATGGCTGTCTTGCTGTTACCCCCAAGACTGTCCTAGAGGGAGAAAGAAATTGAGTAGGATTTTTAAGCTGGAAGAAAACATCATATGAGGAAGCTAAAGTCAGATAGGGTGAGAGAACGTTCCAAGGTCAAACACATATTTAAGGACAAAGCTAGGACTAAAATACAGATATACTGACTTCAGGTCCCATGTTCTTTCTTCTCTGCCAAGCTACTTTTCTGCAGAAAGGAGATCTGGTTTTTAAGAAAAGACGGAAATACAAGGAAGCCTACATTTATTTCAGTTTAATAACAACTGGTTCTAGGCAGGCTACTCAAAAAACAATGATTTCTTAAATGCCTAAAAATCTTCCTTAGAGAAACTGAACAATCATGATATTATTTGTTATCTGATCAAAAAGTGATTACCAACAATCTACTCCATAATGCCATGTCCTTGGAATCTCTATGAAGCCTAAATAATGGCTCAGAAAGTGTTGCTGTTACAAGCTATCAGGCACCTTGCAAATTTTTTCAAACATAAGGCATAATTATAGTCTTATAAAACAAAAGATATGTTGAAAGTACCTGATTTTATTCCCTCTGATAGAACTATGAAAACAGGCTTATCTTCTACATAACCACTTCTACAGTTCAGACAAGGGTGCTAAAGAAAAGACACTCATCTTCATTATGCTAAAACTGATCGGTCAGGTGAAATGGGCTTTAGAATGGGCTCCAACAAATTCAAAAAACTACTTCCACTTGAGAATATTAAAAAATAACTAAAGGAGAACACAGGCAGCAACTTCGACTTCAGCTGCAGCAACTTCTTCCTAGAAACACTGCCAAAGGAAGGGGAAGCAAGGGCAAAAATGAACCATTGGGACTTCATCAAGATAAAAAGCTTCTGCACAGCAAAGGAAACAGTCAACAAAAACAAAAGACAACCGACAGAATGGGAGAAGATATTTGCAAATGACATATCAGATAAAGGGCTAGTATCCAAAATCTATAAAGAACTTATCAAACTCAACACCCAAAGAACAAATGATCCAATCAAGAAATGGACAGAAGACATGAACAGACATTTTTCCAAAGAAGATATCCAAATGGCCAACAGACACAAGAAAAAGTGCTCAATATCACTCGGCATCAGGGAAATCCAAATCAAAACCTCAAGGAGATATCACCTCACACGAGTCAGAATGGCTAAAATTAACAAGTCAGGAAACGACAGATGTTGGCGGGGATGCGGAGAAAGGGGAACCCTCCTACACTGTTGGTGGGAATGCAAGCTGGTGCAGCCACTCTGGAAAACAGTATGGAGGTTCCTCAAAAAGTTGAAAATAGAGCTACCCTACGACCCAGCAATTGCACCACTGGGTTATTTACCCCAAAGATACAAATGTAGGGATCTGAAGGTGTACATGCACCCTGATGTTTATAGCAGCAATGTCCACAACAGCCAAACTATGGAAAGAGCCAAGATGTCCATCAACAGATGAATGGATAAAGAAGATCTAATATATATGTACACACACACACACACACACACACATATATACAATGGAATATTATGCAGCCATCAAAAGGAACGAAATCTTGCCATTTGCAACAACGTGGATGGAACTGGAGGGTATTATGCTGAGTGAAATAAGTCAATCACAGAAAGACATGTATCATATGATCTCACTGATATGAGGAATTCTTAATCTCAGGAAACAAACTGAGGGTTGCTGGAGTGGTGGGGGTGGGAGGGATGGGGTGGCTGGGTGATAGACATTGGGGAGGGTATGTGCTATGGTGAGAGCTGTGAATTGTGTAAGACTGTTGAATCACAGACTGGTACCTCTGAAACAAATAATACATTATATGTTAAAAAAAAAAAAAAAGAAAAAGAAGATAGTAGGAAGGGAAAAATGAAGGGGGGGGAAATTGGAGGAAGAGACAAATCATGAGAGACTATGAACTCTGAGAAACAAACTGAGGGTTCTAGAGGGGAGGGGAGTTGGGGGGATGGGTTAGCCTGGTGATGGGTATTAAAGAGGGCATGTATTGAATGGAGCACTGGGTGTTATAGGCAAACAATGAATCACGGAACACTACATCAAAAACTAATGATGTAATGTATGGTGATTAACATAACATAATAAAATTTTTAAAAAGCAAAAAAAAAATAACTAGATATAACTCGTTATTACAAAACCAGAAATCAAGTCCACTCCGACTCCACTTCACCATCCAAAGGCTGAATGTAATCCACCTGCGGCAGGTAGCCTCTCAGACAGCCCCCAATGATCCCTACATCCTAGTATTCATACCTCAGTACCCAGCCCCTTCCCTTGAGTGTAGGCAGGACATTTGATTTACCTCTAAGGAACAAAATAGAGCAGAAGGAATAGAATAGAGCAGATGGCATGTCACTTCTGAGATGAGATTATGAAAAGACCATGGCTTCTGTTATAGGTGTTTTCTCTCACTCTTGGGAAACCACTGTCATGAGGTGAGGTGGCCCTATGAAGAGACCTCAGGAGTGAATTTGGAAACAGGTCTTCTGAAGCCTTCTAACTTAGGTGGGCAGATCGAACCCCAGTCAAACCTTGCACTAACCACCCTGAATAACACTTTATTGCAGTCACATGAGAGACCCCAGCCAGACCACTTGGTTAGACCACACCCAGAATCCTGACCCATGGAAACTATGAGATAATAAATGATTGTTATTTCTAGCTGTTAAGTTTTAGGGGTAATCTGTTGCACAGCAATAGATAACTAATATTACACTAACATACCATCTCAAGATGAAAAGAATTACCCAAAAAAAGAGACTCAATACCCTCTTTCAGCAATAGAATATCACTGAATTGTAGATTCTCAAGATAGAGAGAAGACTCAAACAGGCCAGTATGGGGTATCACAGGTCATAAGAAAGCCAGCTCTACTTTGGGCAGCTCTGGACAGATATAAAATTCTTACTTTTGAAGACATAAAGTTTTTCCAATATCAACATATCTAAAATTTGCGCAATCTGTGATTTACACCATCTTTGGGCAGACTTGACTTAGTCCTCTCAGCCTTTTGTGAACTGGATTATTTTACTGATCAAAAAAAAAACCCCAGAGGTTTGTTTAACAAAGAAGGTCAAATACTCTGCCTAAAGATCCGGAACTAGTAAACTGAACAATATTCTAATCTAGCGGTGTTCCGCCTTCAAGTCCAATATGACTTTTACCCCCTCACAATTACACAGTAACAAAGTGACACCTGGCAATATAGAGAGAGCTCAGACCTGAGGAACAAGTAAGGTGGCCAGACAGCTTTCCAAGTTATTCTGTCCTACCACCAGAGACAAAATAATTCCCTAGGTCATGCTAACAGTTCAATACAATCCCAGACAACGTGTGTGTGTGTGTGTGATTGACAATGTGACAATCCACTACTGAAAATTCGGTTTTCCACAGAAAACAGAGCTTAATTCTGCCTCTGAAGGAAATACACTCTAACACATGAAAAGGAAGGAAACATAAGTAATCTGGGCTCTAGAAGGCAGAAGTGACTTCTGCCAAGTCTGTATGATTGCTTGCTTTCCTCTTCACCTCTAGACACTGATCGCACACCATTGGTGCCCAGCTTTGGCAACTTCCACAAGAATGTCAAGACGCACATTAATGAAATTCCAATGTTATATATAAAGATCACAGGAATGACATCTCAGATTACAGTTCAGTCACTAGCAGCACCATGGGGAGTGCTGCCCTTCAAGAACTACTGCATTCTGTTAGCCCACGTGAACAGCAAATGCTATTGGGTAAAAAGGGGTTTGTGACAATAATGACCAACGTGAAAAGGCATACATATTGTGCTTCAACTTGTGCTGAGAAAAGGAAACCTGGCAAATGACAAATACTTGATATTTTAAAAGCCCTTGTGCACGAGTAACAATATGCTTATATTCAAAAATGGCCCCGTGCCATTAGCAAGAAGGAAATAGCAACAAAAGAACTGGCACTCATTCAAGGAGAAAGTATAAAGCTTCTTGTTACTCTTTAATTGTTTAATTAGGCAAATCAGATGAGCTTTGTTTCAAATGTAGCAACTGAAAATTAAATGGACATAGGAAAGAAACTGAATTTTGGAAGGCAGGATCTTTTTAAAGCTGAAAGAACTCCTTGAAGTAATCTAATGAAATTATTTCATTTTACAGATGAGAAATTGAGACCCAGGAAGACTGACAGACTTAACCAAAGGTCATAACACTATTCAGAGCAGAGCTGAAAGTACTCATTCACTCAGCTCTTCACACAGTTTACCATCGAGGGGGTGACACTGAGAAGCAAACACTATATGGTAAGAACTAGAGTAGGGATAAACACAGCATGGTCATAGAAAACAGAATGAGCAGAAAACCCAGTCTTGAAAGGTTAGGGACGACTTTCAGAGTCGTGGTATCTGAGACCTAAAGATGAATAAGCATCGTCCAGATAAAGGCTAGTGGGGAGGGAAGTAGGAGGAAGAGAGGAATGTTCCAAGCAGAGTAAGAGTCAAGTCCTAGAAGAGTACTCATCACTTAGCTAGAACTGATCACAGCAAGAGCAGGATGAACAATAAGAAATAGGGAGAGGTCAGAATACTGAAGGCCTCGTAAATCACAAGTCGTTAAAGAATTTGGACTTTATCATAATGGCTTGTAAGAGAGTTACTGAAGAGACTGAAGTTTAAGAAGAGTATTAGTTTTTAAGATATTACAACTTACTATAAAGGATGGAATGGAAAGCTCGAAGGAAATGTTTCAATCATCCAGGCAAGAGATGAAAGTTGCTTCCATTAGATAAGCGGCAGTGATAATGGAAAAAGGTGGATTAAGTCAAAAGATACCCATTATTTGAGCATTTATTACCAGAAATTATTTGATGTTAAGAGGTTCATATTTAGAAGATTACACAGAGAATCAAAAAACCTCTTAATAAGAAACAGTTCTCCACTGACCACTTACCAAATGAATAACCACTCCACCCACCGAGAGAAGAGCTGGAGAATAGTCAGAAGAGCACTCACATCTATCCCCCAACAAATCACCAAGGGCAGTCATTTTCTCTGACTCCCAGATGTTGTAAATATCAAGAGCATAACACAATTATAATGCAAATACAATGCAAAAACACTTTTAAAAGAAAGTGCAAACCTTATGAACAATTTCATGAGTTCGATGATAGTTATGTTGGACGATACTACAATCATGAAATCCAACAAGGATCGGGGAGAGTTAGACTAATTTAGAATTAAAGAAGGAGAGAGCAAAAGGAACATAAAAGCCACTTCTAAGGAGAATGATTTGTGTATCAATCGATTCCGAGAGGTCTTTGGGAAAAATGTTTAAACATGAGAGTAAGTTTTGTAAAAATGCCTCGCTTGTGGAAGGTCGTATGTTTTTTAAGTAAAAAGTATGACAAAAATCAAGAAAACTTCATTTTTTTAGCCTAAGAATTAATAAACAGAGGTTACAATTACAATCTAATTTTACTAAACAGAAGATAAACTGACTTTTTAAAATGTTCAGTTTTGTTCCTCAGTTCAAGTATTTTCACAAGACTCTCTTAACATTTGGTAAAAGTGAAGTGCTTCTCCTTCTAATGAAAAGTGACCTTTGGCAAGATGTACAATATATAGCCTAGGCAAGAGAAGATGGGCAGCGAGGTGAATCCTGATTCCAATCTTATTTCTGCGACCACTGTCACATCTGTAAAATGGGGACACTACCATTTGCCTTCAGAGAAGTAAATGAGATCATGTACATGAAGTGCTTTGCATGGTACTTGATTCTCCCGGCCTCCAGCCTATGGAATGGATACTCAGTAATTACCTGGGCCATTTTAAGTCTGTGAATTAACTTCATAAAAGATACTTCCTAGTGTTTGTTTAAATGGACTGAGGTAATAACAATGAAACAACACAACAGTGAATATTATGTCTTTTAAATCAGGCACATCCCGGGAATAAGCATGAATGATCAAGAAATATTTCTGTGGAAAGTCTGAGGAAGAAATTAATATCTTATCGAAATTCCTTCTGGAAATTAAACAAATGAGATTTCAAGGATAATTACTGACACGTGAAGAACAGCACAATTATTTCCTTGGTAGTGAAATGTTTTGTAATGCCCCTTAAATTCAAGAGTTATCTACAAGTGGTTTTTAATTATCAAACTTTGCTTATTTATCCTTTTGTTTTAAATTTCTAATTCTTTTTGCATTTTGCCAAAGGAAGTACTCTATCTGATTTTCTACTGTGGCCAGTTTCACTTAATAAAGCATGCTTAAATGGTGTGTGGAGTTTTAGTAAGTAAAGTTGAATACCAATAACCCTTTGAGAGAGTAGAAACTAGGAGAAAACCCAACTTCCTTTACAAACACATCACGGACTAAGTCAGAGTTGTGTCACCTTAGAAGAACAAATATTGTTAAAATGTCTATTCTACCCAAAGAAATCTACACATTTAATGCAATTCCTATCAAAATACCAATAGCATTTTTCACAGAGCTAGAACAAACAATCCAAAAACTTATATGGAACCACAAAAGACCCCAAATAGCCAAAGCAATTCTGAAAAACAAAAGCTGGAGGTATCACAATTCTGGATTTCAAGTTATATTACAAAGCTGTAGTGATCAAAACAGAATAGTACTGGCACAAAAACAGACACATAGATCAATGGAACAGAATCGAAAACCCAGAAATAAACCCATAATTATATGGTCAATTAATCTTTGACAAAGCAGGAAAGAATATGCAATGGGAAAAAGAAAGTCTCTTCAACAAATGGTGTTGGGAAAATTGGACAGCCACATGCAAAAGAATGAAACTGGACCACTTTCTTACACCATCCACAAAAATAAACTCAAAATGGATTAAAGACCTGAAACCACAAAAAATCCTAGAAGACAGCACAGGCAGAAATGTCTGTGACATCAGCCATAGCAGCATCTTTCTAGATATGTCTCCTGAGGCAAGGGAAATAAAAGCAAAAATAAACTATCAGGACTATATCAAAATAAAAAGCTTCTGCAGAGTGAGGGAAACAATCAACAAAGCTGAAAGGCAACCTACTGAATGGAAGAAGATGTTTGCAAATGACTTATCTAATAAAGGGTTAATATCCAAAATATTTAAAGAACATACAAATCCACACCAAAAAAAATGAAATAATCCAATTAAAAAAAGGGCAGACATTCTCCAAAGACAAACAGATGGCCAACAGACACAGGAAAAGATGCTCAACATCACTCATCATCATGGAAATACAAATCAAAACTACAATGAGGTATCAGCTCACACCTGTTAGAATGGCTAAAATCAAAACCACAAGAAACAAGTGTTGGTGAAGATGTGAGGAAAAAGGAACCTTCTTGTGTTTTTGGTGGGAATGAAAACTGGTGCACTCTGGAAAACAGTACGGAGGTTCCTCAAAAAGTTAAAAATAGAACTACCCTACAATCCAGTAATCCCACTGCTGGTATTTACCCTGAAATACAAAAACACCAATTTAAAGGGATATAGGCACTCATATGTTTATAACAGCATTATTTATAATAGCCAAATTACAAAAGCAGCCCAAGTGTCCATCAACAGATGAATGGATAAAGAAGATGTGGTATATATACACAATGGAATATTATTCAGTCATAAAAAGGAATGAAATCTTGCCATTTGCAAAGATGTGGATGGAGCTAGAGTATAATGCTAAGCAAAATTAGTCAGAAAAAGACAAACACCAAATGATTTCATTCATATGTGGAATTTAAGAAACAAAACAAAGAAGCAAAGAAGACAAAAAAAAAGGGGGGGACAGGGAGACAAATCAAGAAGCCAACTCTTTTTTTTTTTTTAAGATTTCATTTCTTTTTTGACAGAGAGAGACGCAGCGAGAGAGGGAACACAAGCAGGGGGAGTGGGAGAGGGAGAAGCAGGCTTCCCGCAGAGCAGGGAGCCTGATGCGGGGCTCGATCCCAGGACTCTGGGTTCATGACCTGAGCCAAAGGTAGACGCTTAACAACTGAGCCACCCAGGTGCCCAAGAAGCTAACTCTTAACTATAGAGAACACACTGATGGTTACCAGAGGGGAGGTGGGTGGGGAGATGGGTGAAACAGGTGATGGGGATTAAGGAGTGCACTTGTGATGAGCACCAGGTGTTGTATGGAAGTGCTGAATCACTATATTGTACACCTGCAATTAATGTAACACTGTATGTTAACTATACTGGAATTAAAATAAAATTTAAAAATAGCCAAAAAAAAAAAAAAGTTGTGTCTTCTACTAAGCAAAGCTGTGCTTAACTCATCTTTATATTCTCAACCCCTACCACAGTGAGTAACAGGCATTCAATAAATTCTTGACTGATGAGAGAAGAACTCATCACAAAACTACACAGGGCCCATAAAATTACTTCTTCATTTAAAAAAAAAAAACAGAAAAGGAAAAGGAGTATTAAATAAAATATTTTGTTCCAGGTTGGCAACTCTATACAGAGTTAAACTGTCACTGGACTTTCTATCCTCTAGTTCCTAATCCAATATCCAATCCACCACACCACCTCGATAGACTAGAGGGACCCTGAAGACTGGAAGAGACCTGGAAATAGCCTCTCTCTTCACCAAATTCCTATTGCGTGTCCTTACTAACTCTCTCATGGAATCACTGACTCTTGTTATAATATTTTGTGTTCACATCTTATCTCCCTTACCAGACCCTGAGCAATTAGAGGGCAAGGAGGGTCCCACATTTCTTTACATTCCCCTCATAAGCACTTCATAGCTTTTGTTCTTTCTCATTCTCATTTCCATTTCTCTCATACATACTGAATCAATTAACAAACGAATGACTGTGTGCTCTATTCTGTACCCTTAAACAACATTAGGAAGCTAAACGTAAATTAAAGTGATCATGAGTAGTCTTGAGGTTAATCAGAAAAACAAGGTCCAAAATGTCAGTCAAACAAAAGGAGTCTGTGAGAAAAACAGAGTAGTCCAGCGGAGTCTGTAAGACAGTGGAAATCCTTTCCTTTGACTCAATCTGCTATAGGATTAGCATGAGGTTCTTCTTCTACACCTCAAAATCTCAAAGGCAACTGTGTGGTTCTGTGTGCCCCAAATCCCATTGCTTCCAGGTTCTGATGAATCAGGTGCTTAATCTATTAAATCCATGATTATCATGTGAGAGACTAATGATTTTAAATTTGAACATTGGTAAAAGAAATGATAGGAGGGATTAACAGTCTACTCTTCTCTTCCTTTCTACCAACCACCAAGAGTATGCCAGAAAGGGTGGGGGTGGGAAGCTTACTTTGAGCAGCCAAGTGAGAACTGAGTCACGATATGGAACAAATTTATTCTTGTTTTTGCCAGCACTCTGATCTGCTAGGGCTGAGATAACCAGACCGAGGGTTGTGAGGGACCTGCATGGTGCAACAAACCGGAATAATCATAAAAAACTGAGAATATCAAATGTCACATTTTAGCACAAAAACTGAACATCAAGATGCCTCCTACCTGCATGAGAATAGCACTGTTGTCAGCATTTTGCTGCTCAGTTTAAAAACACATAAACTCTAAAAGCTGATATCCTTCTAACACTACTGCAAGCAATAAAATTGCTTAGCTCAATTACTTTTTTTCATTTTTGTAAAGAGCAACATGAGCCATAAACCTCTAGGTTAAGAAAAGACACAAACACCACATATCTTAAAGAAAGGAAGCCACAAACACAATACAATTAATTAAAACTTAGTATAAGGCAAAAACATTTGCATATATGTACGTGTGTATATGAGGTATCTATTTATATCATATGTATCTACACACATATCATACGTAATATCATTTATATATATGTATATCACCATTCAATAATACAATAATAGCATAGCATCTGGATGATGATCTTCTATGATCTCTAGTTGGTTACTCTCATAATGCATCCTTCTGGATTCCTGCCCACAAGGAGCTAAAATTTAGCTTGAGGTAGAAAATATAACTATATGAAGGAGTTTGTACACAAAATTATTACTTTATAAAACCCTAGCTTCTTGGTATAAATGAGCACCACCACAACAGTCATACAAGGGAAAGCCCAATGGGACTAGTACACGAGCTGATGTTGGTTCAGAGAGTGACACCCAGGTTGAGATCAACAGCTGGACTCTAACAGACCATTACCTTCGTCCTTTTCCATAGCTTAGACCAGTGGTTCTCAACTGGAGGGCTACTGTGCCCCTACCGGGAGATGTTGGCAAGGTCCACAGACATGTTTGGGTTGTCACAACCGGGGGTGGGGTAAGAGAGGTGGCAGGTACTACCGCCATCTAGTGGATAAGGCCAGGGATCCCACCAAACATCCTACAATACACAAGAACAGTCCCAGGAACAATTACCCAGCCCCAGATCTCAATACAGCTGCTCTTGAGAAACCTCTGACTTGACTGTGCTCCTCAGCCCCATCAGACATCTCAACAAAACATAAAATAGGCTCAGGCCTATATATATATATATATATATATATATATATATATATATATATATATGAAAAAATTTTCCATTATTTATTCATTATAGCTTCAATCATTCCAGCATCTTATTCTTTTAATAACCACAGAAGTTCCCCTATTTGGCTCTTAAATCAGTAAAATAAGAAAAGCTTCTGGAGAACTTACTTGTTGATGTTGCTCCCCTCCTTCAACCTGTCCCCCGCAGCTCCAGTTTTCGTTGCTCGCTCACTGCCAGCTAAATCAACCAAGCTCAGTTTGCCCACTTTCTCTCCAGATGTCTAGAAAGTAAATCAACAAATACTAATAAACAGTTAAAGAATACAGGAAGTCCTACATCTCTACCAATGAGTTTATTATCTAAATCCTTTATTAAAACATTATTTACTGTTATTTCAAAATTAGCTTGCACTGCTATAAAAGTGTAAGAAGGGGCGCCCAAGTAGCTCAGTTGGCTAGGCGTCCAACTCCTGGTTTCGGCACAGGTCATGATCTCAGGGTCCTGGGATTGAGCCCTGAGTTGGGCTCTGCACTCAGCAGGGAATCTGCTTGATTCCCTCTCTCTCCCTGCCCCTGCCCGTGCTCCACACACACAGGCATGCACTCTCTCAATCTCTCTAAAATAAAAAAAACAGTATAAGAAAACAAATTTAAAAAAAAACAGTATAAGAAAACTGTATAGTCTAGTAGTAGATATACAAAATTATACCCAACCCTACTAACCCAGACAAGAGTGAAAGTTATCTCAGAAAATAGCGCCCCCCAAAATGGGACATTTTGAAGGGAACCCAATACAATTTTTTTTAAAGATTTTATTTATTTATTTGATAGAGAGAGGAGGAGCACAGAGGGAGAAGAAGACTCCCTGCTGAGCAGATAGCCTGACGTGGGGCTTGATCCCAGGACCCTGAGATCATGACCTGAGCCAAAGGCAGATGCTTAACCGACTGAGCCACCCAGGCACCCCAACAAAATTTTCATAGAGAATTATATGAAAGCACTTATAAAATACAAATTTTAATATGATATAAAACTGCTTAAAAATCTCAAAATATTTACCAATAACCCTGAGAGAAAAATATTTGCAACTCTCATTGGTCTTAAAAAAATTAATATTTTACATAATAGGATCTCTCAAAAACTCAATACTTTCTTATATTTTTCATATTATTTATATATAGTAATTCCCTTATTTCATAGTTTCAGGTATTAAATTTACATATTTCTCTAGTTATTACATAAATATACATAAATATATACTGACATTTTCCTTTATCAAAAATATTCCATAACATAATCACACACATAATAGATATTTTATACTTCAGCAGCAATACAAGAAATGTGGGAATGCAGTGCCCAAATTTATAGACTGGTTCATTTCTTAAAACTTTTCTTTAATATATACATTTATATTTATTTCCATAAATAAACATGTTGCTAACAAAAGGATATTCAGCTTCCCAAATCAAAAGTACTTTTGGTTAAAAAAAAAAAAAGTCATCAGTATGTTTTTTGTTTTATGCTGAAAAGGAAATAGAAAACAAAGAACTTTTTGTTGTTACACTAATCTTGCTGTGATGGTAAAAAAAAGAAAAATATGCTTTCAGCAAATGAAAATCTTGCCAAAATATAGCATTTTTGCCAGCATGATTATTTTAGCTTCTGGTATTTGAAACTGATTTGCTGGGGGGTAGGCATCATCATAAAATATGCAAATATTCACATAAAAAGTAAGAGGAAAAATGAGAAGTTTTCAGTGCAGTAGAAGCATATACATTTTTAGCTGTTTACTCTTCATAAGCTTCAAAATCAAATACTCAAAAAATCATTCTACAAATCTACTGAAATTTTATAGTACAATTTCCCCAGTATAGTTTATTCCTTCTAATACTTAGCTGTTTAGCAGAAGGTAACATTTCAAAACAATCTCTACTAAATCAGCTAGAGTTAACATTAGCTTATACAGCTAGCCATCCAACTTTAAAGCTCACAATTTGCTATGGCAGAGGCTGTGAACCATCAGCATGTTTAACTTCTGTCCCACCTTCCTTTAGTTGGACAGGGCGGAACTGAAAACTACATTTCTCAGACTCACTTGCAGCCAGGGTTCAGGATGTGACTTAGGTTCTGCCAAGCAGATATACTTGCTTCAGATTTGGAAAGCAGAAGCAAAGCAGAGGTCATCCCCCTGGACTGTTTTGGCTTTTTTCTTTTGGCAAGAGGATCATGGAAATAGGTTTTCTACAAGTGTCTCAGGTTACATTCAGCTTCCCCTCACTATGAGGCAGCTTTACTAACTCCTGTGTATCTGGCAGGCCTGAGCTGACTGCTCAGAGGTAGTACCACCCTTGCTGGATGATATCTACATTGTTATTCCTAGAGATTCAGTCTAGAATCCATTCTTTCTCAAGTGTTCTAAAACTCTGTAATCACCCAATCCCTCCATTAAATCCCTGTTTACCTACAGTGGCTTCTATGTCATGCTGAGTCCTAACTAATATATCCATGGCTGGCTAGGACTTTAAGTCATCTAACACCTGAAGGGAATGGAATATGATAAATCATGATCCACTTTAGAAATATTTAAAAAAAAAAAGGTCAAGCATGTGAATACCTACCCCAGACTTCACATCATATAAAGTATGTGTAAGGGTGATTTTGAAGACTGCATGAGATCGACTACTCTCCTCATTCATGTTGGTGGCAGCAACTGTGCGAGACTTGTTACCTTCAGACATCAAAGACTCAATATCCTAAGTAGAAACAAGTCATAGACACACATTTCATTATCTGTCAACTAAACATCAAAACTCTGCTATCCTTTGAAATGCATTACAAGTTTCACTACTCAGTCAACCACATTTGGAGTTTACACATTTATACTTTGCTTCTCAGTGAACATTAAGCCCCACAGAATATAACAGCCAATACTGTCTCCGAAAACTCAAACAAAACACATTTATTTTCTGTAGGTGCCAAATAAAATAGCAGCTGTGACTGAGAATTAGAAAAATTTAGAAGCCACATGTGGAGACCCATAAGATGGACAAATGATTCGTGCCAAACTTCATCTAATTGAGAAATTTAGTTTCTTTAATGACAGAAGCAATAGAAGACAACTGTTAAATCAGATTATTTGAATAAGCAACAAAAATAACTGTAACCCCTTCATGCAAGCATTACACTGTCACCACATTACTGTATTTTATACCAGACCTGTTTCTGAAAACAGAGTATCAAGAAACTAAATTTCTGCAGATTTACTACTTCATTGCCATTACTGTTAAAAACGAGATAGCATGATGCACTTGAAAGATCATGGGATGGGATCTTCATTTTTTCAAATGTCATAAGCTCTAAAAATAGTTAACCAAACTGAATTTTAGTTTCATAAGTAACAATACAGAGCTATAACATAATCTACCTTACAAGGATTTTTAACGAGGAACAAGAAAGATGGTATGTATGAAAGGGTGGACCAGTTGTCTCCTCTTACCCTGTCTCATTTTCTTTCTAGTAAAGGAACCCAGAGCTGAGCACCTTGCAGTGGAACTGAGACTACATTTCCCAGATGCCCTTGCAGCTCAGTCTGGCCATAGGATTAACTTTTAGCAAATGAGACACAAAGTCATCTGGGAATTCTCCTTAAAGGGAGTAGGCATGCTCTCACACATCTTGGTTCTAAGAGCTTAAGATCCTGAACTATGGGAATAAGGGCATTACCACAGAGCTGGCTCTATGTGGAGAGCTGGAAGGAATCTAGGTCCCCAAAAGCATCTTTGGAGCCACTGTATCAGCCCTCTGACCATTCATTCTTTCATTTGTTCACGTAAATAATATATGAAAGCCACCTATTACATGACAGATACATTTTGAATTCTGAGAATAAATAAGGAACAAAACAGAAGACAATTCATGTTCCAAAGAACTTAAATCCTATTATATTTTCCTGTTATTTGCAACCAACACAATCCTAACTGACACATATATATGAAAAACTTTGAAAATCTAATTTTCTATTTTGCTGTATCAGTGAAAAAGAATAATGTTTATAAAAAAATTCAATATGATCAATAAAAAGCCTCAAAGTAGAAACATTAACTACAAAGAGAAGTTTAAGTAGGCACCAAAATGGAAAAACCAACACAAAAAGTAAAATTCACAATTTTTTAGATCCATTCCAAATCCATTTTAGATCTATTAAATCTGACAATCCTGAGACTTAATGTAAAAGCTTCACCTTATTTAGCCCACACTTATTTATTGGCCCCCAATCTGTTGTCTCATGCATAAACTCTGTATTGAGCCTTTTAATTTCTTAAACAAGCAGACTATCTCTTTACACTTTCCAATCTCCTCTGAGCCTTCAAAAACATCTGATCTCTCTCCAATGTTGTATAAATAAGTTCTTAAATGATCATGATTAAAATAACAATACCTACTAACATTTATATCAAACCCTACATTCTCAAAGACTTTTCACATTATTTCATTCGATCTCCTCCAGGAAGTCTTCCTAGACACCACCCATCCCAGATACCTACATGTCCCTTTAAGTTAGGTACCCCCTCCTCCAAACTACCATGAATCCTAAGCATGCATTTCTCACTGCTCTTAAAATCATGTTGTTTTAGAACATCTTTATAATAACATCTATAAGCATCTTGAGGAAATGGACCATCTCATTCACTTTTTATATCCTCAGCACCCAGGACAATGTCTGGCACATGACAGGTGTTCATACATGTTTACCAAATGAAGTATCTAATGTTTACTAAATAAGTATCATTGACCAAATGATAGAAATGATTAATGAACAAAAAAACAAATGGACATACCTCATAAGATAGTCAAGAAAATAAAACTAATTTCCATTTTAAAAATGGGGACAAAGAGGCTTAGTGAGGTAGGTGATCCAGAGTCATACAAGAGTCACACAAGAGGATTAAGTGTCACCAGATCAACGTTCTCTGACTCTTAATTCAATGTACATTACATCACAGCATCTCACTCCACCCCCATTTCCCCAACATGCAAAGCCTGATGGATCCACACAAAGCAGAACTCTAAGTTTGAAAATGAAGAGAATCAAAGGCCAGTGAGTGATCCTCTCAAATTTAGAAACAGACTTTGAATTCCAACTACCCAATTCATATGTTTTATTTCATTAAATCAATGAAACCATAGGCAACTTCATTATCTTATGCACTACTAGGGAAGAAAAATGCTGCTATATATAATTTTAAGATGCAATTGTAAGGAATATCACAACTTTAGAGCTCATTAAAATATGAAAAAAGGTATGCTTTGCAAATGTGTACACCTTCTCTCAAAATTTAACTGTCCAAATAGCCATATATAGCTCTTTAAAAAAGATCTTTGTAAAAAGTAGCTTATTAAGTAATGCTACGATTAATTTTTTTTAATTTCAAGAAAAATAATCATCACAAATTAAACAAGAAATAATCTGCTACAGTGAATTTCAGCAGTTTACAGAAAAGAGATGATTACCTTGTAGCTTGTGACAGCCAGTTTGGAAAGTCCATCGACATAAGGTCCCAAAACATTGTGCTCTCTGACTTTTAACGTTTGACGACTTCTGCTCATTAAAAAGAAAGAAAGAATTTTAAAACAATAACCTGTTTTTAAAAGGACTCAATAGTGCTCCATAAAAATATATACTGAATTCAACAAAGATCCCAAGTAAAAAGAACCAACTAACTTGATCTAAGAAGATAAACCAAAATTTAAAATCTTGACTGGTAAGAAAAACTTCATAATGTGGTAAAATATCACATCACTCAAAAGGGTACACTGTGGGATGTCTATTTACTACCACAAAGAATGCAGAGTCAAATAAATACAAACAATCTACTTGTCATTTCACAGAATGTGGTACAAAGAACAGAAACTCAATAAATGTTAACTGTGCAAGAGAGAAACCTCAAGACCAATCTCAGTCATGAATAAAGACAAACAACAGACTGAATTTAATAATGACTTAAAAACATAACATTAGGCTGATCCCAGGGCTACTGGGTTGTTTTAACGTGGGAAAAACATTCATGCCCTTTACCACACTAGACTAACAGATTGACTAAATGGGGGAAAAAAACCACATTATCATTTCAATAAATGTAGTGAAATGGATTCAATAAAATTAAATACTTATTCATGATTAAAAAATAAATAAATACCACTTACAAACAAGGAACTAATAAACTCAGTAAGTGGCATCTGCCAAAAACCTAAAACATACTTAATCATACTAACCAAAAAACATTAAGAATATTCCTTGATGATTGTATGGTAAATGAATTCTATCTCAAAAAAGCTCTGTAAAAAATATAAACATTACAATGAAAAAAAAATATTTGTTGATAGTGAGGTTGCAAGTGATTCTTACTTATGAACTTATTTTCTAATGATTTGAAATCCTCTACTACCCTAGGATCAGCCACCAAAAACTTCACTTACTACTATAAAACTGTACACGAAATAAATATAGAATATTTGACTTAAGTCTGATCTCAGGACATACTATATCATAACTTTTTCCTTTCATTTTTCCTCTTCTCTTAAAAAGATACTGAATTCATAAAATTAGTACTTGATTTAAAAAAACTAAGTTCCCTTGGGGTGCCTGGATGGCTCAGTCGGTTAAGCATCCGACTCTTGATTTCGGCTCAGGTCATGATCTCAAGGTTGTGAGATTGAGCTCCATGTTGGGTTCCATGCTCAACTGAAATAAATAAATAAATAAGTCTTACAAAAAAAACAACTAAGTTTTCTCAAATAGTCTTTCACTAAAAAGGGATCGCCCTTAGAGTTTTTAATCCATTCACTTTGACTCTTCAAAAACAATGGAAAAATCCTCAAGAAACTTTCTGGAGGAGACAGCAGTAGCAACTAGCACTTTACTGAGCACTTACTAAGTAAATGTTCTAAGACCTCAGGTATATCATCCCAGCCAATCACCACAACAGCCCTCTGTGATATTATGTAATGTTATCATCCCCTTGGTACAAATGAGGCCTAGAAAGCAAAAGGAACTTGCTCTGTAGGTAATTAGAGGACCTGGATGCAGAGCTATGTGAACCCCAAGCCCATGCTGTTCATTACTAATGATACACAAGACAAACATAAGAAGAAATTACTAAAGACTCCGAGCAAATTGTAGATAAAGTTCAAGCGATTCCACACAAGCACTGTGGAATACAAAACACAGAAATGAATTCAGCTAAGCATTTCTGGCAAGAGTAGGTCTGGGATCTCAAAGGAAGTGATGCTCTTCCACAGAGGTGAAGGTGCAAGGACGAGTATTCAGGGCAGAGTTGGGAAAAGTACAAGGACACAATATTCAGCAAGATGTGGGTACCTAGGCTATAACCTTCCTACCTCAGAGGCTTCCTTTTGTTTCCTGTTTTGACTTTCACGTTTGGTGCCCCCCAGCCACACTGGACAGTGGGGTCACTCTCCAAGCAAGTGATTTCTCACACCTCCATGCTCTAGCACAGGCTGTCCCCTATGCCTGAATGGTTCTCACCTAACTTAGCGGACAAACTCCTTCTCAGCACAAAAATCATCAAGCACCTTCCATGGAATCTTCTCTTCTCTTCATTCCCTCTTTGCTCTCACCTATTTTGTATACACCTCTTTTCACAAAAGCATTATTACATTGTATTATAATTATTTGTTTCCAAAACTCATTCCGTCCACGCTGTGAGATCTTCCTTTCCAACTTGCAAAGGGCCCAGCACATAATAATGATCATTGAACAGATGTTAAGTTTTACAGAGAAACACTTAAGTACCAACTGAATGTCACTGGGAAAGGCCATCATCTTTGTCAAAGAAAAGAGATGCCAATGAGGGGTTGACATGTTTTCTTGATTGGGCATCACTACGATGCACTGCTTCTAAGACCACCTTTCTTTGGTCATTTTCTCACCCAAACATAACTAAATGTCCCCTGGTAACTCCGCACTCTCTGGAAAACCTCAGCTCACTTGGCTCTCTGACCTTATGAACACTGTTCTTATATCCATAAGCCACAGGCTGTGGTTATTATCGGTTTCTTTCTCATTGTGGTTGCACTTCCTTAAAATCTGACTCGGAAAACTCTGTGCAATGGACAGATTTCCTCAGAGATGTCTTATCTTCCTCATTAGGTTCAGTTATGACTACAGAGTGAGAACAGCATTTTCTTAGCTTTCTAATACTTTCGAACCACTTCTCTTTCAAAGTCTATGCCGTAAAATGGGACACTCTTTTTCTCTGGGAATTTTTTAAATGAACTATCCTAAAGCCCAGGTTTTAAATCTCTGATTATGTGTCTCCCTTACTTCATAGCCTGCAAAGAAAAAAAAAACAGCTAAATTCCACCTGAAATTTCTTGGTCTTTTTTTTAAAAAAAAGAAGGAAAGAAAAAACCCTACTTGATTAAGGATACCAGTCTGATACTAAGTAACTTAATTTTCATTGCATATTTTTTGTTTGTGGTTTTGGATATACCTGAGAAAAGCAGTATCAGGCAAATACATGCATTTGGCAATACTTCCCTGCCCTAACTCAGCCCTAAATGCAAAAGCCAGAACTGAATGCAGGAAGCTGCTCAATGTGACTAAAAACAAAATCACAAGGACAGTAACTAGATAAACAGATAAAATAACAAAGACAATCACTAGATAAATAACTCTCTACCAGAGTTCAATATAAAAAATTTCACTTGAGTCAATTTCTAAGTCTGTTTTAGTCCACAATGCTATAACATTAGTTTCCAAAGTCCTTTACCCTTTGGGATCAAGAAGGTCTCTAACTTTTTCATTATAAATTTCCATATAGGACACTTCTACTTTAAAACTCTGCTCTTCATTTTCCTCTTTCTGAGTTCGTTCAAAGAGTCCACTACAAAGTCTTGGAATTAATCCAGGTTGGTCAGCTGTGCCCATCATGGTATAAGATTTTCCAGATCCTAAAAAGTAGAAATCATAGTTATCACTGCCTCTGAGAAGTTTAAATACATAACCCTCTTTCCATTGCTCATAAATAAATTACTAGCACTTAGCAAAATGCCCAAAAGAAAATAAGAAATATATCCAAATAAAATGACGAGACTAATACAGAAGCTTTCCTATTACAGATGTAAAATCTAAAGTAAACATCTTTTAGGAAGAAAATAAAAACATTCTTTAACCATCTTCATACTTTAAAAAAGTACCTAAAAGAACCAGAAAACAGTAAGGTCTGAGTCGCTTTCTAAAATTAACTGGGAAGATCCATATGATGAATACTATGTGACTGTTACCAACCACTAATCATTGCACAAAAAATACACATTATTCCTATAGACCCCAGAGCAAATTCACTTACTACCCTCTGGCAGTAGTGTAGAAACCAAAGAGTTTTTTGGTTTTTTTGGTTTTCTACTATAAAATTATTTTCTCCGTTGTACCAAAAATACATATTCATTAAAGAAAATTCAGAGAACACAGGAAAATAGAAAGGAAAACATTAAATCATGCCTAGTCCTAACTTAAATACAACTCTTTATCCTTCTTTAGTAGCAATGCTTTTCTAAATGCATTTTTTTTCAAATTGCTACTTTTATCACTTGATGCTTTATCAATGTCATAATAACAAAACAAAAACACCATTTCTTAAGGACCAGGCCTTTTCTATAAATTTTCGATGTTAACTCATTGTGACAACCCTATAGGGAAGGCCTGTACTCACCAATACTTTACAGATAAGGAAACTGAACTGCTGCCTAGGATCTAGGCTGGAAATGGCTACCCTGGCTCAAAATCCATGCTCTTTTAACCAAATCACACACTGCCTCTTAAAAAATATTGGAAGCATTCTTCCATAAAGAATAGTTTTCAACTGGACAAGCTATACATACACGCTTAAAAAAATGACTCCTTCACTTTAAATAGATTTTCTTTCCTGGTAACTGCAGAAGTACAGAAGTACAGAAGTCAAAATGCTCCTTATCAACTGTAACTGATAAGATGCTAACAATATGTTTCTCTTTGTTACTTTCTCTGTTATGATCTTTAAAGCTTAAATACATATATTTAATATTATATATATTTAATAAATAATATATTATTTAACATTACCAGTCTGTCCATAGGCAAAGATACATGCATTGTAACCATCAAAAGCATTCTGAAGGATATTCTCCCCAAGGCACTTGAAAACATCATCTTGACCTGAAAGAGAGAGAGAGAAAAAGAAGAAAGGGTATTTTACTGATGGGTATTAAGGAGGGCACGTGTGATGAGCACTGGGTGTTATATGCAACTAATGAATCATTGAACACTACATCAAAAACTAATGATGTACTATATGCTGGCTAATTGAACATAATAAAAAAATTAATTAATTTTAAAAGAAAGAAAATTTTAAGCCAAAACTACATATGAACAATTTTTTTGAAAACTAAAAACAACCCCCTTAAAAATGAACTTTTTCAAATTGGCTATCTCCAAACAAGATTTTTAGACCTGATAAATGCTTCCAAAAGCTTATGGCCTTCGAGTATTTATCTAGTTAGCGCATGATAGGAAATGAGTAAAAAGTTCCTGATGATATGAACTTGAATTAATAAACACTAGACAAAAATCCTCTGCAATGCAAAAAGCTAATGAACTGCTAATTTTATAAACAATGATTATAAATATCTAAAATTTATACTAGGGACCTCCGTGGACCTGAATTCAACCGTGTATCACCAGCTAATGCTTTATTTAGTGGGCACTAGAATTCAAAACAATCATACATATCAATCTCCTCTCCTTTTCCTCAATGATAATTTTTATTAATAGGGCCTATGATACATATACTACTTAGAGGAGGGAAGACTATCTTGAAAATGTCTTCTAGCTTTCAGTCATGAACAAAAGTAATAGGTCCAAATTCTCCTCCACAGGCTAAATTAAATATGTTAATAAAACAAAGTCATTCAACCTCTCTTTGAGTCTTGAATATACTATGAAAGAACTGGATGTTGTTATGTTTGTTATACTTTGAATGCTATAAATAACATTCCATTATGCCCCACTTCCTAGTTAATTTCCCAGATTAGTATATCATCATCTTACTTCCGATACAGAAGCAATCCATAAGCAATCCATTGAGCCAGCTAGAGCAAATTAACCTGAGCTTTTTGAACCTGCTATAGTACTACTCTGTCTCATGACAAAAGCCAATACAATTATGACCCTCAATATTTAAAAGATCCTGCTTAGAAACAGCTGTCATAAGCAGTTAGGAATGAAACACATTAAAAGGCTGGCCCTGCACTCCTAAATTTGTGGTGTAAAGGAGCTTGAGGGGCACCTGGGTGGCTCAGTCAGTTAAGCGACCGCCTTCGGCTCAGGCCATGGTCCCAGGTCCTGGGATCGAGCCCCACGTCGGGCTCTCTGCTTAGCGGCGAGCCTGCTTCTCCCTCTCCCACTCCCCCTGCTTGTGCTCTCTCTCTCACTGTGTCTCTCTCTGTGTCAAATAAATAAAAAAATAAAATCTTAAAAAAAAATAAATAAAGGAGCTTGAGACAGTCTTGTTGAGGAGGGTAAGGGAGTAACAGAATTCCGAGCAGGCAGGAGCAGAGCCTAGACTAAACCACAGGTTTCCTCTTCCCCTTGCTCAACTTTCCTATATCAAGTCGCCTCTCCAGACCACATCACAGACATCTAAGGGAGTCTAAGTGGCTACTGTGCTCCACGTCCCATGTAAGGTCTGGGAATGTGTTTGATAACCTCAACTGTGTATAGCACACTGTCAATCTCCTATTTCCCCATCACTGTAGAAACAGCAGAGACAGGAGGAAATTCTTAATACAGTTCTTAAAGTTACACAAAATAATGCTGTAATACTTTATGGGAAAAAATTCAAACACCTTTTCTATAGTAGTTAATAGGATGCTGTACTTACCTGCATACTTTTCTCTGACTGATTCATCCATAGACCAGAAACAGTGATCATATGCAAACACCTGTTGAAAAACAAAAATACAGTATATACTAAGAACAAAACCTTAACATACTTATAATATTATAACAGTGTTATAACACTGATAACGCTGTCCATAGTAGTGAAATAAAAATACCTTACTGTCTTAACAATGGAGGTTAATTGAATTATTTATGGTACAGTTTTACAATGAACAACTAAGCATCCTGTAAATGATACCGACCTTTATTTCACATGGAAAACCCTTCACGATGTTAAGTGAAAAAAGGGGTTACAAAACCCGTAATATGATGACTATCATATACACATATACAAACAAACACATACATAGTTACACATAGAAAGTTTATTTCTGCATGTAAGATTAGTGATCTTTGTCTTCTTTATGTTTTTATGTATTCTCTACATTTTTACTTTCTCAGAGAAAATAAAGATATTTTTATAAGAATGAAATGTAAAGATGATTATTATGGCAAGTTGAAAGTAGTTATAAAATAGCAGATTCAAAAAATCATCACACCCATGTGCAATATTGCACAGCTTCAAGACTGCAGAATACTGGTAAGAAAATGTTTCTAGATTAATGTAAAAGTTATGAAAGTCTGGACCATGATCCCATGTTTGTACCAAAATCTATACAGATAAAAAGCTGTAAGAATACACACTAGAATATGGTTAGTGGTTAATACCACCTGGTGGGACATCATAGATGATCTCTGTTTGGATCTTTTACATTTACTACTTGCCAAAATACGCATACTTCTTTTTTTTGCAATCTTTTAAGTTTTTTTCACTGAATTTCTTCTTTTGGATTTCATATTTATAATTAAGTCTCTAAGGATTTTAATTGTAATCGTTTTTAAACCTTTTTTTTTTTGTTTGAGAGAGAGTGCGCGCACGAGCTGGGGGGCAGGGACAGAGGAAAAGGGAGGGAGACAAGCAGACTCCCCACTGACTGCAGAGCCCAAGGCAGTGCTTGATCCCAGGACCCTGGGATCATGACCTGAGCCCAAGGCAGATGCTTGACTGAGCCACCCAGGCGCCCCAAGTGTAATTGTTTTTAAAATCATTTCAGCTTGTAGTTCAAACTCTCCAATTTTTGGGTCTGTTGCCTCTCTTCCTGTTGACAGTTTTCCTCTTGGGCCTTTATGTCAGTTTGCAAGTGCATCTTAATTGGGAGTTTGTGTTTTATGGTTTATGTGGTTGCTTGTTTTTTTCCTCTCTCTCTGGCCACCTTTACATGACTAGCCACACTGCCACTCCCAGCTACAGAAGCCCAGATTTCGGTCTTCCCGAAGTCCAACATCTCCACGCCCTCCAATCTACACATACAGCTCAATGTTGGTGGCCAGAACCCTTTCCTTCCTTAAAGCTTCATTCATGTTGGAGCCTAACTCAAATCAGTTTTCACTGATTTTTCCAGTCCTCCCATACATCAGGCCCCCTCTAATCTGCAAGAGGTGAACTAATCACCTCTGAGAACCTGCCTCTGATCCCAACACCCAGTAAATACATGGCTTCAGCTAGTCTCTGAAGTTACATTATGTTGTTTTTTAATATGATGACATGATTTTAGTATTTTAGAAATATTTTCTTTGTTCCTGCTATGAGTTTGGAGTTGGTAGGAGATTACATCTGTCTGAACGCACAGGCTACCTGGACCAAAGGTCTAAAAGTTTTTTAAAGAAAGGAAAGTAGATTAAGGTGGTAAATTAAGTATACATGCCTATATCCCTCTCCCACCTGAAATCAACTCAAAATGATGGAGGGAGATAGGAAGTGAAAGGGCCAAAAGGAGAAAGAAGAGGGGAAAGGAGAATTAAGTTTTTGAAAACTAGATTTCTCGCTTATACCTAGATGAGAAATTGAGACTCCCTGAAAAATAGTTGCAATGAGACCGATGAGGGACAGAATGGGGTGGAGTGGGGGCTACATGGAGACCACAGGCCAAAACACTGCAGAAGAGTGGCTGCAAAGGTAAGACCAGTTCTGGAAGGGCACCAGGGGAACAATTAAATGAGCAACGAGAGAGCCCTGGGGACAACCACCAGGACAACTGGTTAAGAAGACCTTTAAAGCAAAAAATGGTCAGAACACTCATACCTTTTTGCAAAACATCAGGCAAGGGAGGCGTCTCTTCCCTGGAAGGGGGCAGTGATGGGCTAGCTAGGCCCAAAAGGCGAGGCGAAGCCCAATGGCTGAAAATACCCAGGAAGAGGCAAGAGCCCTGGAGCCCAGAAGCTATCAACCGGTTAAAGCGCTGTGTTGTACATTACAGTGCTCCACATATTTCCAAAGCTAAACATGTATCTGTCAAGAGTGGTCGCTCACTGTGTTAACAACACTCCAACAGGGGGAAGAGGAAAAGAAAAAGGAAGATGGAAGGTGGTCCCAAAGGACCGTGTATCACAATTTCGGTAGGGGACTGCTTTTCAAGCTACATTCGTCAGCCGTAGTGAGAATCATTACGGCATGGTGAGAATAAATAAAGTATGAAGTTCAAATTAAGTTTCTTCTGTACTAGCTTTCAACTCTCATCTCTTATAATTTTATTTAATTCTGTTCTCAGCAAGGTTAAGCAGAAACTATCCTTTTTTGTAAGCCTAGCTCTCACTTCAAAAGTGCCATCACCATATGTGTGTACTTATCAGAGAGTAGGCTCTACATGACACTCTTCTCTCAATTATTATGGGTTTTTCTTTCTTCTCTTTCTTTTTTTTTTTTTTAATTTAGGGATTTCCTTAACAACTGCATTTCTAAATCTCAATTCCAGTAGAGAAGCTACTATTAAAGTAACCATTACAATAGCCAATACAGGTGCTAGGCCCTGTTCATGGGACGCTGAGGTACAAAGAAGTGAAGAACCTGATGGCTGGCAGGTGGAGAAGCTGGGATTGGAAACCAGCCTTTCCGCCAAGAGGCTGTTTATCACTAGGCTGGATTGGCTCCATTCCCCAAATTATATGAAAGCACCGCAGCCTGGTACAAAGTTAGGAACTAATGAACACTTAGTTCTTACTTACAGTGCTGAATGGTCCTCTTTAAGTCCTAGCAATTTCGCTATTATAGGAATCTTTAAATTGTTATAGGAATCGTCAGCCAAGAATTTCCTAAAGCAGACAAGCTCTTTTCTTTCTAAATATTATTCTTTTAAAATTAAAAAAAAAAACTTTTTTCAAGTAACAGTAAAGAAAGACACATTCATTGCACGAAGTTAAATAACACAAAAATATAAAGTGAAAAATAAAGGTCTCCCATTCACCAAGATACCTCTCCCTAGACATAACCACTATGTTAATAATGTGGTGTTGGTCCTTCCATACTTTTTATGTCAAGTCAACATTTTCTCTAAACATTAAGACACAATTGAATTAAATAAAACATGAATAGTTTTTAAATGGCCGTGTAATGTTTCCTCACATCTTTACTGCAATCTCCAGTCTCTGGCTCCATCAAAAAATCAGGAAACAGAAATAATCCAATACCTTTTCACAGAAGAGATAAAACTAATAAAGTTGATTTTTACTTTTATAAAGAAATCCAGTGCCATATTAAACTATTAAAAAAATTACTCGGTCCCCAAGAGCCGTGTCTATACATATTTTAGCAACAATAGAGAATGGAATTACAATTCAACCACAGACTCAAAAACAAAATCCCAAGAATGTAGATAAAAATCTGAATTTCCTGACAAGTTCCAAGTAATGGCAGCAAATGGTCAATTCAAAAATATAGTCCTTGTGCCCACTTTGGCACACCTATAAATTCCTTGAGAGATACAAGAACTGATGCACTCCACTGACGTTTCTTTAGAATCTGGGCTCAAATCTAAAATGAAGCACATTTGCCTGACGAAGCCGTGGCCTGAGAATGTGTCCCCAGCTGTCAGGGGAACAACATAGACGAGTCTGCCTAGCACGGTTCTGACCACAGTCTGGAACGACCAGTTTCGAGCCAATCATGGTGAACAGCAGAGGACAAAAGGAATCTGTGTTGTAGCTGCCAGGAAACTGGCCAGAATTGGTCAAAGTACAAATACAGCTTTTCCATAAACCTCCAGTCCCTCCTATGCCAATAAATGATTTCGGATTTATGAACAGGCTGACAGCTTGCATTACTTTTACCAAAGTGACAGAGAGAAAATATTTTTGAGAAGAAAATTACCAGTACTTTAAAAATACGCACATAAGATCTTTACAAACATTGCATAATAAAGCAAATCTCTTACCTTTGGCTGGCTTCTGCATTTCCAAAAGAGATGTCATTGTGGACATGAAAGAAGAGGGAGAGAGTTAAAAAAATTTTTTTTGGTTAGAAGACAATTTTGAAGGGTAAAATGAAAATAAATACCATGTAAATTTTTAGTAAGAATACAAAATATTAACTTTGAAATCAAATAGCAATTTAAAATAAAGGATAAATTAATAACCTCAAACTTGCAGGGTAGAGTCCTTAAATATAGAAAACTAACTTGTATCTCTCAGTAAAAAGAAACATTATCTGAGCACTGGATAATTTTTAAAGTCCTAATATTTCTGCCTTATGCATTCTGCTTATCCTTGTATCAGTCTTGCAAGTATATAATTTAAAGAGTTTTTACTTTCTATCATCTGATTTCACTTCCAAGTAGTTTTCTCTGCTTTGATACAGCAGCAGCTCACTAGATAGGGCCTTCTATAAAAAAATGAATTCTGCTCTGGCTAAGGAAAAAGGTTAAAGGAACAACTGTGAATTACTACTTACTGAATTACTCACTTATTATCTATTGATCTATGCTCACCCAGGGGCTTCTAACCTCCCTCACCCCAAAACTATGACTCATACCTCCTCAGGGTACAGAGATATAACCAAGCCCAGTATACTTTGGAGATAGATTTATTTTTTTTTTAAGATTTTATTTATTTATTTGACAGAGAGAGACAGTGACAGCAGGAACACAAGCAGGGGGAGTGGGAGAGGGAGAAGCAGGCTTCCCGCTGAGCAGGGAGCCCGATGTGGGACTCAATCCCAGGACCCTGGGATCATGACCTGAGCCAAAGGCAGATGCTTAACGACTGAGCCACCCAGGCGCCATGGAGATAGATTTAAACTTAGAGAAAAGTTGCAAGAATAGCACAAAGACCTCCCTTCACCCAAATTCACCAAGTGTTAACATCACCACAGCTACTATTATCATTCTCCCCTCGGCCTCCCCTCCTCCATAAACAGACAGATATACAAATATATATTAGTTTTCTCCTACTCATCTGAGAGTAAGCTGCAGACATGCCCCTTAATGCTAAACACTTCAGTGTCTAATTCCTCAAAACAATGATGTTCACTTTCATAATCATGGTACAATGCCAAAATCAGAAAATTTTAAAATAAAGGAAAGGACTTTGGAAACTGGAGACAAAAACAGTAACTGGAGCTTTAGGAATAACTGGTCTCTCTCGAGGATCAAAATGCCAACTCAAACCTAAAACCTGAAAAGAAACTGAACACAGAAGTGCTTCCTTCTCATTTTCTACACAACTTCTTATTCCTCTGTCTTATAAAAAATTTTCTTCTAAAAAAAAATTTAACACTTATTTGCATCACATGATTTTAGGTAAGAACATTAAAACACCAAGGAAAGTCTACCAAAGAGTGACACTTGTCAGATTCTGGGGTGGCGACTGATGTGGCTGACCTAGAAAAGAAAGTAGTTTTTCCAGACTCGGAAAAACTTCCCGACAAAAAAACCTGTGAGATACTGGTAGGTATCTGAGGTCACTGATAAATGCTGTCATCTTTGTGCTTTTTTGTTTTTCGGGGCTTTGTTGTTGCTGTTGTTGTTGAGTATAAGCAACGTTAATACGTTAATTTTAGGTGTTCAACTAGTGACTGCACAAGTTTTGTTTTGTTTTTTAAGATTTTATCCATTTATTTGAGAGACAGAGAATGAGAGATACAGAGCACGAGAGGGAAGAGGGTCAGAGGGAGCAGCAGACTCCCCGCTGAGCAGGGAGCCCGATGCGGGACTCGATCCCGGGACTCCAGGATCATGACCCGAGCCAAAGGCAGTTGCCCAACCAACTGAGCCACCCAGGTGCCCGACTGCACAAGTTTCTGCACTCTGCCACGCTCACCCCGAGTGCGGCCCCCATCCATCACCATACAGTGCTGTTACAGTATCACTGACTGTATCCCCTGTGCCGTGCCTTTCATCCCCATGACTTACTCATTCCGTAACAAGAAGCTTGCACCTCCCACACCCCTTCACCCATTTTGCCCATCCACGCCCACTTTCCCTCCGGCAACCATCAATTTGTTCTCTGTATTTATAGCTCTGATTCTGCTTTTTGTTTATTTATTCATTTAATTTGTTTTTTTAGATTCCACATATGAGTGAAATCATATGGTATTTGTCTTTTTCAGTCTGACTTCCAGTTTTACAGATGAGAAACTTAAGGTTCAGAAAAGTTAAACGAACCTGTCCAAGACACAATAACAAGCAGTGATGGGATGTCAAACTAGGTCTGATTCCCAAGTCCACGTTCTTCCCCTCTTCCACACTGCTCAAAACAGCCTCATCAAGTTTCTTCTAGATCCAATCTATGAGTCATACATTAACAACTGTTCTTGCTAACAGAAACCCTTCCCAATGTATTAATTTCCTCCATTCTAATTATTACCAATAAAAGGTTACCACCTGGTGCTTATGCCAATGTAAGTTTACTTATTCATCATATTTATGAAATTCCAGACTGTTTTTCCTGAGGGAAAAATAAGATATTTAGTATGATATTTCAAGTTTAAATAAAATATTTTATACAAAAATCAGCTCTTCCTAAGAGACAATCAACAAATATAAGATGCAATATAGGACACATCACAGAAGAATCCATGAGAATAACCTGAATTCAGAACCTAATAAAAACAGAAACAAACCAGTAAATTAATAACAGAGCTAAGTTTCCAGCTAGGGATTCTGGTGACTACAGCAGTCAAGCTCAAATAACCTACAAAGCCACTGGAAACCCAAAGATGTAATTACAGCTCCGTACAAAAATAAATAAGTAAATTAATTAATGAAACAAAACCTTTCAAAGTATAGTTGCAATCCAATATGGTAATGGCTAACTTCTCCCCAAATTCCTTGTTTAGAAACCTCAGCTATCCAGCTCCCAGCGGAGATTTAGGAAGCAAAGAAAACCAGTCCCTGACCAATCAAAAGAGCCGTCACAAAGTAAAAACATGAAAGTCTTGGTATCTCAGCTGAGTTGAATTACTTTTTGTTGTTGCTGCTTAACTTCATTTTAAATATCTTCAGGCTCAAAAAACATTCCAAAAGTAGTACAAAAAATTCCTGTGTACCCTTCACCCAGCTTCCCCAAATGTGGATGTCTTACATAACCACAGTCATTATGATCAAAACCAGGAAATTCACCACCAATACAAAACTTATTAAATAATCTAGAGCTTAACCTTATAAAAATGTTTTGCCAACTGTATCCCACTGATGTCCCTTTTCTGGTCCAGGATTACACCTTGCATGTGGTTGTCTGTTTCCTCCCATCTGGGACAGTCTCTCTCATGACCCTGACACTTGAAGAGTACTGGCCAATTATTTTGTAGAATGTCCTTCAATGTGGGTTTCTCTAATGTTTCCCCATAACTAAGTTTGGGTTGGCAAGCACAACACTACAGGTAATGTTGTGCCCTTCTCAGTGCTTCACACCAGAAAGTACATGACAATGTCCATCCATGTTTCATAACTGATGATGGCAACTCTATGATTATTTGCTTATGGCTGCATTTACTAGGTTTCTCGATGTAACATTACTAATTTTCCCTTTGTACAATTTTCTTATTGGGGGAGACTTTGAGACTATATAAATACCGTCTCTCATCATACTTTCACCCACAAATTTGAGCATCCATTGATGAATCTTGCCGGCAACAATTACTGTTTCCCAAATGGTGACTGTCTAGTTATTGGAGGTGTTAACGCCCAGGTGGATCGATATGGACAGATGTGCTTTTTTAGGAAGAGGTAAACTTGGGAAACAAATGATTTAGTTGCATAGTTTGGATAAAACCGTTATCTATAAAGAAGCTACTCATCTCCTTCTTTTTACTGACCTGGTTCAGGGGTACAGCTCACTTCTCATTTAAATAACACATTATACCATAAAATTAAGTCCAATTACACTTCTAATTTTTTAAATGCCACAATATGAAGAAGAAATTTAATGATGATTTTAAATAAATTAGTGATCTTTGGAAATTTTTATTGATACTTTTGACCATATAAATATAAAATCAATATTGGGTCCAAAATAAACTACACAATATCCCGTATGTGTAAAACACAAAACAGTATCAGTAGAAGGACAAGTTACAAATCAATTACTGCTGTCCAACTATCAAAATTGAACATCACATCCAAATACCAACACCTCTTTTAATTTTAAACATTTGTTTAAGTTTCTCAAACCTTCACAATTAGAAATATTTGGAATCTCTTTTTTAACAGGATCTCTCTCCAGCCCGCTCCATAACGGATGTATACATCACAAAGAGCTTATTCTGATACAGCCATTCTATGATATTGTTGTTTTTCGGACTTAGCTGGCAGTACCAGCAACCAAACAACAATTTGTGTGATGATCATTATTTTTTTCTTGGTCAACCCTCCCCCTATGTGCTCCCTGCATAAGGAATAAAGCTTGATCTGACTACAATTTTCAACAGTGAATAGACTCACAAAAGAGTCAATCTTCGCTTATCTCGCCAGCTTTAATAAAAACATCACTAAAAGCCCTGTTTAGTGTCTCATTGACATTTGGAGTACTCCCTTCATTTTTGAAGAATAAATTTTAAAAGCATTATTGATAGAGTAGAATATTCTGGAGAACAGCACTGAGGATATAGAAGGTTTGAAAACACTACCACTGAAAGAATAGATCAAAGAACTAGAAATAACGTAGCCGGGCGCAGGGAAGACTCAAGGAAGACGCATCGATGCCACCTTCAGATTTGAGGGTACTCACACATTTGGGGGTAGGAGGAGAAACAGACTTGTTCTAGGTCAGCTTAGAGGCTGAATTTGGTAGGACCCTCTGGAGAAAGATAAAAGACGAGGGATATCCTCTCCAATACAAGAATTATTAGCATTGTGTTAAACAGCCAGCTCCCCATGAGTGGAACTATATAACGAGAGAAAAGTAGCTGATAAGGATGTTGCAGAAGGAAGGAGAACTTATACACCGGATCA